GGGAAGAACTGAGAAAGTGGTCTGACCAGCTAGCTAACCAATAAGAAAAAAGGAGAAGGTGGTCCGATCTATCGTATTTACTAATCGTATGAGAAAACGTTGTCGATGATGAGAACTGTTGTTAGAAAACCACACACAAAACAAACTAACACACAATCCTCCCAGATTCCACGGAACTTGTTTATGGGCTTTGCCTCCTAGAACAGTGGAGTGGTCTGGTTGTTCGTGGGGTGGTACGTATAAAGATCCTTCAAAGTAAAACCCAGTGGTGTATGAGTGTGGGTTTTGAGGAGGAGGGATAGTTGAATTTATAGAAAGATAGGGGGTGTGTGGCGAGTATAGACGAGCACTACCTTGCTAATCGTAGCACAAGGTAGGTTTGAGAACAATGAGGATGACGAGGTGACGAGGTTCCCAGTGATAGCAGGCTCCTGACGCACAAACTGTAGTGCTCAGAAGGACTCTAATCGAAGGGGATGACAATCACTTTCAAAAGTGACGAGTGACGATGACAGCAGTTAACAGTGGTAGAAGTGGGAAGTGTTGTGACCACACTGGATCACAAGTAGCAGTAAGAAGTGGACTTAAGATTAGAGAAGAAGTCTGGAATCGAGTTCTTGTTGTTTTTTTTACAAGGTAAAATACAGGGGTTTATATAGTAAAAGAGAAGTAGGCTATGCACAGTATAGCTGTGCAAAAAGAATGAGAAAGAATATGAAGGAAGGAATGTACGCTGACGAATCCTGCGTAGGTAGTACAGGATAAGATTGTCAAAAAAAGAAAAGAAAGGGATAGAACAATAAATGCTGTGAGTAATGTCACAGGTTTGTACAGCCATAAAGTAAAGTCCAATAGCAAAAAGAGAGCAGGAAAATCATGATGTCATGGGAAGATGCAGTAAAAAAAGGGCAAAGCAAAACACTATCAGTATCAACACAGTTCCTTTATTGTCAGTCAGGCATTCTAAAAAAATATGTGTCCATAAAAATGATTCAAAAATCAAAAATAATCGCACTGTAAATGAATGTTCTGCTGAAAAAAAAGAAACTGGAGCCACCGGTCCACCACCTAGTCCAAATCTGACAGTTCCATGGCCTTACCAATGGACTGGTTGTGTTGGACCACCTGATCAAACGAGGGAGGGAGAGGAGTAGTTCCAATTTGGAACAAGTGAGTCCCAGGCAGCGTGTGGTAGGTGTAGCTGTAGCGAAGACGATGGACAAATGATAAGTGTACCCAAGTGAATGGGACAGCGATGAACATGGGCGACGCAAGGGGATGAACCTTCTCCAGCTCAAAAACTACCCACCCACGCTCCAACCAGGCAAGACGAGCGACCGATGTTTTGATAGTATATGATGGCAGATCGACGTCATGAAGATGGACCTGTTGCCCTATTTGGACCGGCTGCCGGGGCTTTGCTGATATCAGCAGTGGCACGTGGTAGTCAACGGATCGGCGACGGAAGCGGATAGGAAGTGGTGACATCAGAAATGGTGGGGGTGCAAAGAAGATGAGGAGGAGGAGGGTGGAGGTGACGAGGAGGTGAACTAAAATGGGGACCCAGAAACGACCGTCGGGTGAGAATAAAAAGGAGAGGAAGGGGCCCATGGTGGGGCTAGGCAAAGGAAGGGGAGTAAGGGAAACGACAAAAGCGAGGGCGCAATGCAATGTGTAGCCAGTGGCGACGCGAAAATTTGCCGAAATGCCGAAACACGGAAAGTACCGAATGGAAAAGCAAAGGTGAGCATGACTGGATTGCCTAATAGAGGTGGTGCTGATCAGCCACAAGTTCAAAACAGGCAATATTAATTACTATTCCACGTGCCACTGTGCCTGTGTGGCGCAAAGGCGAGTCTTTTTGAATATTCGCTTTGTTATTGACACCTGTCCATGCTACCAATCAACTTTGGTGCATGACACCGCTTTTTTGCTGACTAATTAATCTACAGCCACATACCACACATTTATCCACTACACCATAAAGGCTTACAAAATATAGTATACATGTGTAATATATTGACCTTTTATGGACTTGTCATTTTTTTTTACACATTGTCACAACTTATACTTGGATAAAGCATTACCATAAATATGTACTATGGTCTTAACAGCTATATAAGCTATTAGAGCTATAAAAGCCATTATAATGCCTTGGCTAGCTATATAACATTATACATGTGTGCTCAAACTTATAATACTATAAGAGCTATAATAGCATTTATAGTAATGCCCCTGTGTGAGGCAACGATAAACTATAACAAAAACTAAACCTATCTCCTTCTGCACTTGCAGGGAGTAAGGGTTCAATGAGCTTGAGGTCGACAGACGCTAGCAAATATAGCAAGTAGAGGACTTTGAGAGGTAAGCTTCAAAGGTTCTTGTTGAGGAGTAAAGCGGGTAAATTCAGTAATAGAAAGCTAAGGAGCCATACATGAATAGGTACGGCTTTATATAGGGAATTGTCCGTTCCTCAGACCGAAAGGAGAATATACGAAAAGTGGTCTGAGGAATTAATCAACCAATAAGAAAAAGGGAGAGTAACTATTGTACGACTTCTGACTTGATTAATCAGCAGGTGAGAGACTTGTACTAATAATAGAGGATTGTCACGCGTGGTCAGGAACCGTATCCTCATGATGAGGTACGATTCTAGATAAGGCGTTATTAGTATTACCAGGCTTTACTGGGGCTTGGAGCTGGTTGGCGAGATGCCTACTACCAGTCTCTACCCAGTGTGCTGGCTGGCTGGGAGTGATACCCAGTCTCTGATCTGTGATATAAAATGGTAACGATGGTTAAGAAAGCCTGTGAGGGCTATGAGAAGTAGAACGGCAAATGATACCTCTAGCCCTAGAGCCAGAGGCGTAATGGGAAAAGCGTTCAAGAACCAAGACATAGCGAAGATGAGGAAATAATAAAATGGTCCTTACACCCTGCTATATAACACTATCAGAGCTATAATAGTATAAATAGTATTGCCTCTGCTATATAGTACTATTAGAACTATAATAGCATAAATAGTATTGCCTCTGCTATATAGCCAAAGTGTTTTTCCTGATGTTGAAGCAAGAACTTACTAATGGACTGTGATAGTCAGGTGCATGACCTATATAGTTTGTGATTTTAGCTGATATCAGTCTCTAGTCAGGATCATCTTTGTCATCTGACATGGCATTGATGATAAAAGCTGCATTGTATTTGGAGTCTTGATACTGCAATAATGGGTGTTTCTGGATGCATTGTTTAAGTTTCTGATCTAGGTAAGTAATTGTTTCTAAATGATGGTGAAGACTCAATGATTCAGCTTGTGAATCTCTTACAGGCTTGCTTAAGGCCTTGCAGACATCTCCTTCATCTTTAAGACCCTCTTCCAGTACGTCCACTTCTTTGTTATGCCTTTCGCAATATTTCCTTGACAGGTACTGATATTTTTTGCAATTTTTCTGCCTTAGATCTTTAGGGAGAACAGTCTTGATCATTGGTGCAGCCTCTAGAATCTCAGTGGGCACATTATCCATGACCCAGCTTGGATCTCTTGAAGAGACTCCACATTGGTCTTGTTGTCTGTGGTAAGTGTCCAGTTGTAACAGTGAAATGGTTTCTAAGTCAAGGGATCTTTAGGCCATGTTTGGTGATTTTTGGAAATGCCAAATAGCAAGGCAGGTAGATCTTTTGGCTGGACGTTGCTTATCCCCCCCCATGTAATGGGAAAAGGCCTCGAGAATTGCATCCTTGTTAGGTTTTTAGTGGATGAGTCTTTCTTCTATCTTAACACTCACTCTAACAGGCTTTGATGAAACAGCATCAAGGCTCTTCTGCACTTGGTTAGCAGACATTGCACCATCATTAGGAATATGGGAATAAGAACATTCCTGCCAACGAAAAAGCGGTATATATGAATAAATATGGTAATTGGTAATTACATAATATGTACAATATTATTGAGTAATTATAATGAAATTCCGAGATATTCATGCATGAATAGACTGTCAAAATGTGTCAGAGCCATGACCTTTCAGAGTAACAGAGTTTCGGAGTGTGGAGATGGAGTGGAGAGAGTAATGGAGTACGAGGTTGGGAATCAACTTAGCTTGTGCGCTAGGTCCTTCTGTGGACCTTGGTCCCTAACTTGTCAGAATGAACAGATGAAAGTGGAGGATGAAAGAGGAGCAGAGTAAAGGCCCTTTGGAGAAGGACTGGAAAACTTAGAAAGGCAAGGGAATCTAGTCGATACTCAAACTGCAGGAATGGGGTACAGGAGTTACAACTTATATACTGTTGGAGGAATGGGAGCTTGTAAGGAGTAACTCATAATGTAAGTACGGAGTTCCATGCAGACAATTATCTAGTGAAGGGAAATGTATGTGCAAGGAGTGTACTATAAGGTCTAAACTACAGAGTTCATGAGGAGCACAAAAATGTGCATAGGAAAATGTATGGTGGACTAGAAGTCCGGTGTAGGAGGATCAGGGCGGATGTCCGGAGTACCATGTGGAGATGGGGCACAGGGTTATGTTGACTGGCAGGACATGAGGGGCGTAATCCTTAATATCTCATAGATATGTGGTGTAACATATGCCCATTTTGATCGCATTTTGATCCTTCAACATCTGATTAACATCTGACCAACATGTGGCGAAAATATCTAGATTTTTGCCACATGTTGACCGTGGAAAATCCGACTTTTTCTGCGGTGATACTAGCTGAAACCATATGAAACTAGTAGTAAGTATAGCGATGTGTGACTCTTCTACTTATCCATACGAGTAGATTACAGGAATAGGCATTTCAGCTTCCGAAGTACGTCCATCTCGCTGGCACCTGTCGTATTTTTTCCGAACTGTTCGTGGCATAGTTTCAACTAGTTTCAGTTACAGGAAATTATTAAGAGAAAACTTGTGCGAGTCGCTGAACTTGAATTATCACATTCGTCGCAACAAGGTGAGAATGGCATTACCAGCTCAGGACGTGGACGAGAACATAACTGATAATGAAGAGTCAAATTTGATTTCGTAAGTCATAGAACAAGTTACAGTCTTTTCAAGGCTCAAATATCGAAACACGAAGACGACGACAATAATTGTACACATAACACTATTGACAATTTAAAGGCACCAGGTTCTTGTACTTTACACAGGCACCGCTTCAAACTGACCCCAGTACTCTTTCAAAGTACCTGAGATCATATCGCTCACTGCTTTGCGACAAGTACGGCCCGATAACGTAGTTTTCCCTGCTCCATCCGCTCGAATGCTTGTTCTATACCTTCTACGCTCATATCAAAGGTTTCAACAAACGGCTTGATCCCCTGCGTCGCAGCAAATTCTAACATCTTGCTGTGCACACCCCTCGAACACACCAGGCTACCCTGGATGCGAAGTCCACCAACAACGAGCGGCATGTAAGGCACGACGAGATTCTCCTGAGACACAGAAAGCGGAAAGATGGTTCCTCTGGGGGCCATTATCGGGATGTATCTAACAGATAAGAAGTAGGCCGAGGTTACTAAGCTATATATGCAAACTCACAAGTCCCAATCGGGCTGCGCACTCGTCGTCACAAGAAGGTGATTGATTTCTTTTGCACCTTCGAGAGTCTTCATACCCCTAGTGGCGTAAAACTCGGTGGCTCCGAGCTGCAGTGCCTCCTGCTTCTTGCTATCGGAACTAGAAAACACGGTGACTTCGCAGCCCATCTTCGCCGCGAACTGGATAGCGAGATGTCCAAGACCGCCGACACCAATGACGCCTACGCGATCAGCAGGGCGCACGTTCCCAGTAAAGAGAGCATTGAATACGGTCGCGCCTGCACACATCAACGGAGCGGCATATGCGGAATCGAGTTTGGAGGGGATAGGGAAAATGAAAGCGGCTTTTTGAATGGAGTAAGTTGCGAACGAGCCTTGATCAAGTATGCCCAAGCCGTAGATCTGTCGTGAGTGACAGTAAATTTCATCGCTAGCGCGACACTGAGCGCAGTTTTCACAAGCATTTTGGAGGAAACCGAAACCTGCCCTATCGCCTCTATAGGTTGGAAAGGTGAGCACGAAGGAGGGGGTAGTCGCGGTATTTGGACGATGAACACGGGGACATACACGGAAAATGCCTTGACACCTGACCCAATCTGCTCGATGATGCCAACGCCTTCATGGCCGAGGACAATATCCTTGGATTTAAAATGCACGTCTGTTCCACATACACCTGAATGTGTCACTTTCAACAGGACTTCGTCGGGAAGGAGGCGCTCTCTGGTCGAAATAGACTGCACAACCTTGCCGGCCTCTGAGCCCTTGAAGACTGCAAATGATAGCTCAGATGGCATTGCGAGTGTGGATCGGGGGGAATGTGGCGGGGTTTGTGGTGTGTCGGTAGTATGGATTAAGAAGCTGAATTTGAGTCTAAGACAAGCCTTTCGCTTTTATATCTCTGGTCTAGCCTATTTTGCCGCATGACAGGCTCACCGGGTACGTCGTCACCGCGAATACCAGTATGCAGATGCGTAACGGTTGGGGTGTGCTACGAATGACACATTGGACGAACGATAAGGTGGAAGCCATTACTCACAGCTCCGAGTCGCAGTCTCGAATGTGCTGACCCAACTCCATTCTTGGTTTCAACATCATGCATCCGATCCGAACGAATCATGTATACTTCATACAGAGAAATGACACGACGAAGCTTACAGTGCGATATATCAACAAATCGGACAACTGCAGTACTACTATATGTTTCCAGTGAGATCCAACACACTCGGGCGCGAAGTAATGATCACCGAGCCAGCTTATCGATGCTCGATGCAAAGAACCGATTGGCTCTTCGGGTTCGGGTACTGTTAAGACACCGGAGGACAGCTGTTTAGAAAATCCTCGATAAGCAATCTGGAATGACTTGAACTTCCCGCTAATCCTTTTATTTCAAATGTTTATGAAGGTCAACTTTGAGATGGGCCCACGCTCAGATCGTACCAGCGCCCAACGACCAGCCCCAAACCCGAAAAATAGGGCCACAACTGTGCCACTGTGGTCCTACGGGCTTTGTTTGGCAACAGCCTCTGATTCAAACAAATCCCTCTTACCACTGACCGCATGACGCTTGAACGTTGCGCTCTAGTCCGGGTCGATAAAGGATGAAATGGACGACCGAAGCCACCGAGACCTATACCGACCCAGGTCGTTGAGCATTGAACGGCGATTGTCACAGTGAATGCGTCATAATCTATGCCTGACGTCATAGGATCATTCTGTAGCAAAATGTCAATATAAAACATCGCTTTTCTAATTCTCCCCGCTATCGACCATCACCTCGACCGTCACTTAGCGACCTATCAACTATGGGATTCGACTTTACTGTCTTCAAGGGATCGAAAGATGGAAAGATCACCAAATCAACCACTCACAAAGACACTCTTGATCCTGACGAGGTCCTCATTCAAGTGACGCATTCCGGTCTTTGTGGTACAGATCAACATTATAGATCGGAAGAGATGGTTCTTGGTCACGAAGGCGTTGGTATAGTCCAGCAAATCGGCTCCACTGTTACATCCTTCAAAGTGTGAGCGTCTACTCCAAAACACTCATCACAAACTACCGTTTTCACTCTAAACTTCACCGTATTCACTAACCTGTATACACAGCGGTGAGCGCGTCGGTTGGGGATACGAACACGACTCTTGTGGCCATTGCGACGAGTGTCTAAACGGGAACGAGATGCATTGTCCCGAGAGGCACATGTACGGAATTTCCGAATTTGACCAAGGCTCATTTGCTACGCATGCTGTGTGGCGAGCTCGATTCCTGTTCCATGTTCCCGAATCCATTCAGTCAGCTGAAGCTGCGCCTCTCATGTGTGCCGGCGCAACTGTGTTCAATGCACTTTACTCTCATGATGTCCGGCCCACTGACCGGGTCGGTATCGTTGGAATCGGGGGTCTTGGACATCTCGCAATTCAATTTGCATCAAGAATGGGGTGTGAAGTAGTTGTATTCTCTGGCACGGAAAGTAAAAAGCAAGAGGCGATGCATTTAGGCGCTAGCGAATTTTATGCTACAAAAGACGTGAAGAAGCTTGACATTGGAAGAAAGTTGAAGCATCTTTTTGTTACCACAAGTTCTCAACCCGATTGGCCTTTGTGCGTTTTCGTTTATCTTGGATTATGCGACTCGGTTGCTCAAATTCAATAATCAGATTTTTTTCCGTGCTTGCTCCAAATGCTGCCATCTATCCTCTAACGGTGTCGCAGGATAGTCTGACTATGCCATACCTCGAACTTGTCCAGAATGGAATCCGCATACAGGGAAGCATTACACCTTCGCGTGGAACACACATTAAGATGCTACGTTTTGCGGCTTTCCATCAAATCAAGCCTATCGTACAGACATTCCCGATGAACCTTGAAGGTATCGAAGATGCAATGCAGAAACTGGAGAAGGGAGAAGTTCGATATAGAGCCGTTCTTGTTGTTGAGGGAGCATAGAGCATAGAAATTAAGACTCTTCTTTGAAAATTTGCCGTCTAGCTTTCATGTGATATCAAATACTGCTTGTATGAATAGCACTGGCTCTCGGAGTATCTATTATGCAAAAAGCTCGTGTGCAGACACGAAAAAGAGATTCAAGCCCCTATGTACATGAGACAATTCTCAAAGTTGGTCTCGAACCATTCTTTATCCACCGCATTACCAAGTAAATTCGGTATATGCACGAAAAAGAGTGATAATAGGTGAATATACCTGTGGAAAACGACGTATCCAATTGCCCAATATACAGCATCTGGGCACATGTAGGTTCGAGTATATCAGAAATTATCAAGTATATGTATATTGGTATATAAAGAGCCTGAACATTTTGAGTATGCAATAGTCGTGATATCTAGATGGATAGAAATTCAATATAAATCAAATAGCAATGCCATTACCTGGGATCCCTTCAACAGGGCTCATTTTTTCGTCGTCGACAATTATCGATTCCTCCACATTATTCACGCTTGTGCTAGCTTCTACAGCCCGCTTCACATCCCACTCTTTTAACCCAATAGCAGCACCCATCTCCCTCCACTTCTCCAAAAGCTCTCTCCTTCTCTCGTCACACATACCAACCAGCCCCTTCCAGTACTTACCATGCTCATATTCGAAATCCATAGCACCACCCCACCACTGCTTGACAAGCATTTCTGGTACGAATATGCCATCCGCAACCGCCTTGGGATTGAATCGCATCTTTTGACGAGTGATGGGGTCGATGAAAGGCGTAACGACCTTGTAGAAAGCGTAAAGCATCCATGGAGTATTCAAGATCAGCGCTAATCCCAGACGCTCTGGATAATGTGTTTGGAGGATGTTCAGAACCTGTTGTATATGTCAAAAAAGGACACAGTGACGAGAGATAAGCCATACTGTGCGTGCAGTGCTAAGAGATGTATTCTTCGCTTTATCGGCGTAGTTGATCATGAGTGCAAGTGTCCTATAGATAATAAAAGGGTCGCCGTAACAGGTGTTCGAAATGGGACAAACACATGAGTAAAGCGGCCTGTGTGATAATCGAGACACTACATACTCTACTCCTGGACCCATGAGGTCAATTGCGCGTTCAAGCATCCACACAGTGTACTGTATCTGGCGAGGGCTTTCCTCTGTATTTTGCCGACTGGGGATCATGTAGGTCGCCGGTCGTCCAGCAGTGTCGTAGCCAAATATGAACTCTTTGCCAGTGACTGCCTGAGTCAAACGGTTAGTGAGATAGAGTGCTAGTAGCACGCGCGTGTACCTCGGGCTCAACAAGGTCTGGGGTAACAGTATCGTATAGCCCGTATTCACGTCGCCATTTGAGCGTTCCCTCCAGACGTTTGATGGCCTCGTTCACGTCCCACTTCGTAGCGCGAAGATATCTAAAACATTGAGTTAGTATTGACAGCCAATAACGATGTTGCAACACGACTCACCGAAGGATGCATTCATATGACTGGTAGACAATTCACAAGACGCAGAATCAATCAGTCTTACCACAACATTGTGAAGATATGTTATAGAACATACAAGCCACATCTTCTCCTCTTCCAGTAACTCGCCGTTCTCGAGCTCTGGGACTACATATCCATCTTGCACAAAATGCTGGTATACTTTTTCATACATCATGGCCTCATTTGCACTTAGTTCAGGAAGAGGCTTGGGGTCAGGTAGGACGGGGACGGGAATGGGCTCAAATATCTGGGACTCAGACATGACTGACGCGAATGCAGAGTGCGGTGAAGACCAAAGGTATGGAGAAAAGCAAGACGCGTGTGTACTTTTTGTTGACGGTCATGGTCCCATTTTCTACTATTTGGAAGCGCTGGCCCTTTGTCCCTGACAGCATTCGACATCGGAGCTCAAAAGACCATGATTAGATCATACCGTCCGTTTGCAGAAATCCTCAATTCGCTTTCTCGACGTTCATCGCGACATCGCACGATAGCCATCAGAACATCTTTGTCTGCGTATAACCCCCCCATACATCGTAGTTTTACCAACAGGACCTTTGCAACCAAGATGTACTCTTCAGTCCAACCGTTCGATGTCGGAAAGCTCAAGGTTTCAGATATACACTCGCTATAGTACGTCGGGGGGTCATTCGTACTCACCATTTGCGTGAAATACTAAGCAAATGAGCGTACTTTGGTCGACACTAGCTACGAAGTGAGCGGAAACGTGAATGGAGCACCAGGTAAAGTGGCAATCAGGTTCCTGGGTTCAGCTTCATTTATCTTCCAATCTATCAGTGGTATTCCTCCATGGTGAGCTCCGGTCTTTCATCTTCTTTGTTTCGTGAAAGTTATAAAAGGAGTGTCTGTCATCTAGGAGGGCCTGGTAGTGGTGTAGATGTCAAGGACAGAGGATTTTTCAATCCAGAGAAATACAAGGTTGGTATCTTTCCTCGAACACTCATCTATCTATAAGTGCCACCTTGCCAATAGATCATTTTATTTGACCAACGAGGTTCTGGTAAATCCACTCCGTGAGTTCTGTTATCCTTCCTTAGCATATGGAGCGTTTCCAACGAATCTACACAGGAATGCATGTCTAGAAGAGAACACCACATGGGATCTCGTGAAAGATATCGAGAAACTTCGTGAACTTCTCAAGATCGACAAATGGCATGTTTTTGGTGGCTCTTGGGTGTGTCTCCATAAATTACCATGATTTCACCCCATTCTGAGCCCTCGTTTCAAACCCTTAGGGTTCGACCCTTTCTTTAGCGTATACTCAGGTAAGCATCGTTTACATTTTTACTTGGCACTTCACTCGAAGTGTAGGACAACATTTTAGGCACACCCTGACCGCGTCAAGAGTCTCGTACTACGGTCAACCATACGTCACGCTTCTGCCTATATTTCCATACTGACTTTCTAACACTAACAGGGGCATTTTCACGCTGAGAAAAAGGTCTGTTTTACGATGCATAATAAATGATTTTTATCTGATCGTTTCATTTGCGTTCTAGCGAGCTCAAGTTCTTCTATCAGGACGGGACGTCCCATTTGTTCCCAGAGGCCTGGTAAAGATTTCGCGCCCTCCAGTTCACTTTCGTTTCGAAATTCAATCGTTAACGCACCACAGGGACGAGTATGTTGCTCCTATTCCGGAAGCAGAGCGCCAAGACATGGTCCTTGCATATCATGCTCAACTGAATGCCGTTGATGAGAGCACTCAACTCAAGGCTGCAAAGGCATGGACCAAATGGGAGTGCGTACATCAAAATTTTGCTATCCTGCTCTGCCTTATCTTGTAATAATTATAGGATGTCAACGTCGAGGCTCAAGGTGAGCGCAGAAGCAGTTGCAGAAGCAGAAAAAGACGAATTTGCTCTGTGAGTATATCTGGCCTAGCTAATTAGTATTATTCTCTCTTGCTGAACATATTCAAAGTGCTTTTGCCAGAATCGAGAACCATTATTTCGTGAATGAGGTAATTGTTGTGGTTTGGTGATTCGAAACCTACATTGATGAGCTCGTAGGGCTTCATGAGAGACGGTCAGTTGTTGGAAAAACAAGAGATCGATAAAATGTACGTTTGTAACTACACTTCCAGATTCACTCTCTTAGCCTTTGGTTTCTTATAGCCGTCACATTCCTTGCATCGTTGTCCAAGGACGGTATGATGTAGTCTGCCCCGTATGTCTCTCCTTGAATCGTATCTTACCGAGTGTCTTGACTATTCGCCTGCAGGCAACGACGGCCTATGCTTTGAAGAAGGTATAGTGCTTTAATTCTCAGCTGTAGATCTCGTACACTCATCGTTGTTTCGCTCAGGTCTGGCCTGAGATCACACTTCATGTTGTCGCAGACGCAGGTCATTCTTCTCGTGAACCGGGTATCGAAAAGCTTCTTATCGAAGCTACGGACAAGATGGTTGATATGTAAAATCTCAAAATTCTGGGTGCTGAACTTCTAACGGCGATCTACTTGAACGAATAACTAAATAGTACTTGAGGAATATTGTTAAATACCAGCCTGAAGTGACGGAAATTCTGGAGCAATATAAAGTTGTATTTTTAATAGGCTGAGATACCGGTCTTTCATTGTGCGCAGCTTCACAAAAAATCTATCCGATGAGTATGATACGATGAAGCGTAAGTATAAAAAGTAAGCGGTAGCTACATACGTGAACGTGAAAGCAGGTTGCAATAATCGATATCATGGGAACCACGTCAAAGCTAGCCAGTGAGAAATACGTAGAGAAATGAGAAAATATGTAAGGAAACCCTTAAGAAAGCCGATATAAGGATCGAGATATATACAATGTGTTAAATCTAATTTTATGATTCAGAGGTTTCTTCAGGATAGGGCAGAGCCATCTCTCCCATCAGTTCTCCATGTACACGGAATCGATAGATGCAAGTGAACTCGTCACGGCCCCAGTTGTTGTTTATAACCAACACAACAACACCAAAATCGATACCGAGATCTTTGATTTCCTGCGATACGGGGAAGGTCTGAATATTCCTTGATGAGTATATGTCGTATGTGAACGATGCGATGCGAATGTAGGGTTCCGACGTTGGGAGCATGCTGGGGTATTCCGGTTCCGATTCCTCCACATATTCCAAACCTTCTTCTTCCGCTATCCTCCTCGCCTCCTCGCGGCGTTTGGCCTTATCCGCCTGCCACTCTCTCACCTTAGCCAAGTTATCTTTACCATCCACAAAACCCCAGACTTCCATGTCTCTAGGCGCTGAGCGGAGATCAAATGCCACTTCCTTAGAAACGTGGTCGATGGTGAAGTCCGAGACATAAGCAGGGTATGCAAGCATTACACCCACTGACCCCTTGGTACCCTCCATCGGCCAGCAGTATCCATTATGTACCTCGTGATGCAGCACTGTAACTGGAGTCCTTCCCGTCGCAGTTCCTTGCCCTGAAACTAAACCGTACAGACGTGCGCCCAACGTTGCAGGATAAATAGTAAGCGTCTGGCTGGTGAGCGATGGTATGAGTCGCGCTCCAGCGGAATGGAGGGCAAAGTCGGGTCGCGAGAGGTCGTCCTGCTGACTGTACTTTAAGACAGCAGATTCGACCAAGTGACCAATGAGAGAAGTGACATCATGCCCATCGCTCGACTTGATGGTAATACCAGAGCCCGTAGCACTACCAGAGGAGAGCTTGTTCCACCAAGCCGCACCAGAAGCTGCAACGCCTCCAGCCTGACGGAATTCTTGCCTAGTTCGAGCGCCTCTTTCACACCGCCTTCTACAGTGCCTAAACGTTCCTCCAAGACCTTCAGTTTCCCCCTGGCTTCTTCATCGCTCACTTCTGCAGCATGTCGTTCTACAGATTCTCGCGGGTGGGCCTCAACTTCCTGGACATGCGATTGGACCGCCTCCATCTCTTCACGTACTTCCTGCAGACTTCGACTTGTAGCGGCTTGGAGGAGGTGCTGCGCTTCCACAGAACGCTTAATTTCCTCCTTGACACGGGCCTCAAGAGCAAAGATCCTGTTGATCAGCTCTGCGTTACTCCGAGCATCCACATCCAGCTGCGAGCGAGAGCGTTGGTGATCAAGGGAAAGTCCCGACAATGCGCTTTCGATATTTTGTAGTCGCGCAGTAAACTCGGTAAAATCCGTGATTGGGGTATCTGGGGCATAATAAGTAGGTGGGCCTGAAATGCGCGAGGGTATCCATTGGAGGAAAGGATCGCGAAGAGCATACCAAGCGGCGTACACGCTTAGCGCTACCATTAAGTATTTTCCCAGTTGAACAAAAGGACCTGGATTAGTACGTGAAACCATATCCGCGGGGCGACGTAAGATCACATCGACGATTGTCCCGAGCACCTTACCAGCGAGCATTGCTACCGCAGTGCACACGTCGAGCAGAAAATGCAGTACGGCCACTATCCCTCGCCACAGCCTATTTACCAGCTTACCCAAAAGTCCTCCTATTGAAAATGATTTGGACCGCGCTGGCACTGGTTGGCTACCCATATACCCATCCACCACAGGTGGCTCATCTATCTCTGGTATTGATTGTAGACCAGCCTCGACGTCCATCGACTCATCTTGCGAAGTCTCGTGCACCGGTGGGATAGATCCTCGTACAGATGGAGGGGCCGAACCCCGCGGAATAGACGTCCTTTGAGGAGCTGATCGCTGTGTAACGTTGATAAGAAATAGAAGAAATAGATAAAGACTAATTCATGGTGATCACTAACCTGTTCGTTACCACTGCTGCTCCCTTCCTGTTCTTCTTCTCCTATTTCCTCTAAATTCCTATTACTTCCACGTCCTTTTCTTCTCCTCCGCTTACCATAACTTGCTACGGGAAGTGTTGTTAGGGGTCCCCCGCCCAATTCTTTCTTCTTCGCTCGCCGTCTCCTCTTTTTCCCATCGTCTGAGAGGTCATCCTCTGATTCTTCCATTTCTGATACAGACGGGCGATACGCCTTGTTATCCATGGACATCCGGTTCCGCTTATGTGTTGCATTTATCCTTCGAGACGATGCTTTGGCGTCCTGATCTCCATTTTGGTCTTCTCCTTCCTTCTGACCTTGCATCTCTTGGTATTCACGCTCCTCTGCAGAGTAATCGTAACTGGAATCTTTGCCGTTTGATACATTTGAATGATCTGCTGGTTCTTGTGATCGCTGCCGCAGGTAGAACGTCGCAGGTGCCAGCACGCGCTTCGTGATGTCTACCACCTGCTCAAAAGGAGTCTTCGCACGACCATTTTCGTCCACGGCTTCATCCTCCCCTTCGGAGTCCGGGACCTGCGTGACTGAAACCTGTTTCGAAAGCGGTATACGGTTAGACCGCTGAGACAGTCTGTTTGGTGGTGGTGCAAGGCGTCGATTGCTTATGGACTGAGTCTCCTTCTCATACTCGACTGACGTGCTTCGTGGTACATTGAGGTTGGTTTGGGACCCTGAGGCCCAGGAATGATTGGGATTATTGGATTGCATTTCGTGAGAGCTCGATGCTGCTTGTAAAAATGCAGTTGCGATATTAACTGATGTGTCTTTAACACTCCACTTCTCTGGGCGAGGTGGTGAGGTGATGGTGCGTGGTCCCAACTGAGCGCTGGGACGAGTGTGGGTGGTTTGTTCTCGCTGTTTGATATGAGCGTAGCGTACGAGGGCAGGTTCGTCTGTATTGCCTTCTTGCCCCAGCTCTTGCGTTGAATTGGCCGATAAGGGCTTTGGCGGAGATCGGGTAGCGGCAGTGGGTGCTCTGGACATGTCTTATCTAGACAACCTTTCAAAACCGAATGGTATTTATGACTCACCCGTAAGCGTAAGAGGTTGGGATTATGCGCTGAGGACTGGTAGGGGGGTTGACAGTTCTGGGGTTGTTATGGTTGGTGTTGGGATTTTGCCTATTGAGAAAAGTGCGGTGATCGAGACGTCTGCCTTGACCTAGTGGTGTGCCCGAGAATGACATGTACTATCCACGCGACGTATGGCCAGTGGTATTGAGAATGAGTTTACCTCGTTTTCAGCACGTTTCGGCAGGGCGGAGGCAGCGTGTTAGCAGAGAAATAACGTTGTGATGTCGGGTGAGGGTAACAGAAGGCGGCCCTCACAGAACACAGGCTGGTTTATACTTGCAGCGATGGTGGTGGTTGTAAAGCAAGGTGTGAATGTGTGTTTCTGGCTGTGATTTGTGTGATATGAGGCTTTGCAAGGTGGATGTCGGTGGCATAACAAAACGCGCATGGCAAAGCGTGGCCCTCATCATCTCCGTTTACCTCTGTTTGCACCGCGTATATTGTATCCCAAAAAGGCAGTTGTAGTCTTCAGACAATGCCCTCAAAGCCACAAAGCCATTGTATTACAAGGCAAGCACAGGCCCCATATTAATTCCTTGTTTACTGTCTCTCAATAAACTCATAGACCCATTCCACGGAGACTGTATTCACCGTTGAGTCTTTGCTCTGCAATATATTCCAAAGCAGGGAATTGTTTATTATTGTTGATCCAGCACTGCTTTGATAACACGTACCGTCACATGTGTTCAATATAAAGCCGTTTCCTGAACCTATCGATCGCCCAATCACTTAATAACTGCTCGTGCCCCCCGACCATGTGTAAAGGTCGTCAAAACACCTTTCGCAACATACTACAGAGTTCGTGTAACAGAAACTGTCCTGAATATGAAAAGAGAAAGGAAAAACCAAGCCGGAGAACCATGCACGATGCTCAAGATCAATCGAGAGGGAATTTGCTTTATTATTCGTCACAAAACATCGTGCGGCACTCCGGTATAAGGAACGTTATTGAGTGACGTGTTGGCTCAATAATCATGTAGTACACGATACAGGCAATATGTACAATACGACCCGCGACAGGGAAATAATCACTGCAATAGCATCAGTAAACTCCTCAATATCATAATCGAACAAGGAGCGGAGATGCTTACAAGGAAGTAATCCGGTACACGTCGTGAAACGAGGGGTTCTCCAGCCCGCGGTGCGGGATCGAATTGTAGGCTGGACATGGTATCGTGTGACATGAGATGAATACTTGAAGAAAATATGTCGCAAAACTCACAAGCTGTACGATAATTTTTCGTCTATTTCCATGATAGCCGCTTGGTTACCACACCTGTAGCAATAGTTGGGTGCACTGAAGATGGTCACTACATTTCTATCTTGCCCCCAGCTGTAACCTGTGTCGTCCCAGAAAGGTACCGATATGGAAGAAGGTTTTGCGTTGCATCAATAAGAGATTGATGCATGTTGTATTGGCAATTGGTACATACCCTCCATGACTAACTGATGCGCTCGAGCAACAAGTGTAAGCCCATTGTTATGGTTGAATGCCTCTGAGATATCCTGCCCAAAGGTATACCCCGCACCGCGAGGAGATATTCCCCAACCACATCGGTCATCGGGATCAGACCACAGTAGGTCGCACATCGGTCCTTCGTGAGGAACTTCTTGCACTCGATCGATGGAGCGCACATGATCTAAGGTGTCAATTGAAGGCGAGAGACCTCCGTGCAAGCAGAATATCTATTGATGATATCATTAAGTATGTGACGCAGGGGCTGAGATCAAGAGAAATAGGGGGGATACAAACGAGAACGATGACATCGCCCAAAGTTAATGATGAAAGAAAGACCTACTTGGTTATCGATGAGAGCGGTAAGGGGAAGGAAGTCGAAGAGGTCGGTGAAGAAACGCCAAACATTGGCATTTCCGTATTTGCGAAGACATTCGTCATAGAAGCCGTACACTTGCGTGATTTGTCTCGACTCGTGGTTCCCCCGCAAAATCGTTACGCGATCCCGATACCGAAGTTTTAGTGCCACAAGCAGCGTCACAGTCTCAACAGAGTAGTAACCACGATCGACGTAGTCGCCCATGAAAAGATAGTTGGTATCCGGCGAGTTGCCTCCGATGCGAAAAAGTTCTGACAGATCATGCTGAGAGTTTAGATAGCGAGAGAGGCGTAGACAATGCGCATACGACGATCAGTGATGCAGATTTGACAAAACAATATAGTTGTGAAGACGTACGAATTGACCATGAATATCGCCGCACACGGTGACTGGACATCTAACAGGCTGCACATTGGACTCTTCCATCAAAATCTCCCGTGTCTGCGTTCCACATCATCAGATCCAGGCTGGTCATCCTTAGGCGGCCCAAGTGGCGCTTTATCGGTGTTGTCTGCAAACGCACCTTGTCGCAGAGTTTTTTTACGTCTGCCTCGGATAGTTGTTTGCATTGGCTTAATTGTTCGATCCATCCGTCAATCTCGTGTTCCATGGTTGCTTTTGCGTGTAAATGAATGAAGACACAAGGATAAGAGACGTAAAGATGGCGGCTGTCCAATTGCACTTGTCAATAAACCCTAGGTCACCGTCACGCCGTATATGCCGACTGTCACAGGTGAAGCGTGACGCAATACCAGATCGCGAGACGCGTTCTTTGCAGATTTCATAACCGCACTGTAAAATGGCACAACCTGAAGCTGTCTATGCTACTGACGAGGTGCGTAATAATCATTATCGTAACTCTGTAACTGACCTGTCTTTGTAGTACGGAAGGCCTTTTATCATCCTGCGGGAACAGGGAAAGAAGACAAGGAGTCATGGTGTCGAGGCAATCAAGGCAAGTAAATCATTTTACTATCAAACCCGTCATCTTCACACAAAACCACCCTCAGTCCCATATCCTTGCTGCACGCACAGTTGCGAACATCATTCGTACATCGTTAGGTCCAAGAGGTAAGTACTGCTGATCTACTGATGTTGTGGTGTGCTACAGTTCTTACCACTATCGTGCAGGGCTGGACAAAATCCTTATCTCGCCAGATGGTGACATCACTGTCACTAACGATGGTGCTACGATCTTGGGACAGATGCAGGTGGAACATCAGATCGCAAGACTCCTCGTGCAGCTTTCCAAGAGTCAGGATGATGAAATCGGAGATGGGACGACGGGCGTTGTTGGTGCGTCAGTTTTTTTACTTTCATTCAGTCTTTCGTTTTGATCAGTACTACTTGCGTAGTCCTCGCTGGTGCATTGCTGGAACAAAGCGAGGCTCTCCTTGACCGAGGAATCCATCCGATCCGTATTGCAGATGGTTTTGACAAAGCATGTACAGTGGCCGTGGAACAGCTCGACCGCATTTCAGATCGCGTCGAGTTCTCCAAGGATAGTAACGCTAATCTCCTCAAGACTGCCATGACCAGTCTAGGAAGCAAAATGTACGTCGGATGACCTTGCATTATCATTTTCTACATCTTAGTCATTTATCCCGTCATGCAGTGTCTCAAAAGAACACCAACAATTTGCTCAGATAGCAGTTGATGCAGTACTTACTGTGGCCGACCTTCAACGCCGCGACGTTCCTTTCGACCTCATCAAAGTTGAAGGCAAAGTTGGCGGGTCCCTTGCAGATACTACACTTATCAGAGGCGTATTGATCGATAAAGACATGTCACACCCTCAAATGCCAAGTTCCGTTTCCGACGCCCGACTTGCGATCCTCACCTGCCCCTTTGAGCCGCCCCGCCCAAAGACAAAGCATAAGCTGGACATCACCAGTGTGGATGAATTCAAAAAGCTGCGAGAGTACGAAAAAGAAAAGTTCGCGGATATGATCAAGAAAGTAAAGGATACTGGCGCCAACTTGGTTATCTGTCAGTGGGGCTTTGACGATGAGGCTAATCACTTGCTGATGCAAAATGAATTGCCCGCTGTCCGCTGGGTTGGTGGCCCAGAGATCGAGGTGCGCAATTGCTTATATCAGTAAAGCTACTTATTGACGTACCCAAACCTTCTATTCAGCTCATAGCAATAGCCACGCAGGGTCGTATCGTGCCGCGATTTGAGGATCTTACTGCAGAAAAGCTTGGTAAAGCAGGCATAGTGCGGGAGGTCTCCTTTGGCACCACGCGTGACAAGATGCTTGTCATTGAGGAGTGCGCCAACTCTCGTGCCGTGACGATTTTCGTTCGTGGAAGCAATAAAATGGTTAGCTCACTGCTGCCTAAACCATTAAAAACGATATACTGATTGCTATCGCTTTCAGATCGTTGATGAGGCAAAGCGTGCATTACACGATGCCATCTGCGCAGTGCGAAACCTCGTGGTAGATAACCGGGTTGTTTACGGCGGAGGCGCTGCCGACATTAGCTGCTCAGTTGCTGTGTCGAAGGCTGCAGACGAGGTAATTGGAAATCAGCATTCCAGCTAATGACTTTATAACGTAACAAATTGCGCTAGATTCCATCGATCGAACAATACGCTATGCGTGCCTTTGCATCCGCTTTGGATGCTATCCCGTTGGCGCTTGCGGAGAACAGCGGATTGTCACCTATAGAGACGCTCACCGAGGTGAAGAGCAGACAGGTCAATGAGAAAAACACACGCCTAGGCATAGACTGTTCGGGTCGGGGCGAGAATGGTACGCATCCCGCTTTCTCTATCGCTCAAGGCATGTTCTGAGGCGATACACTGTATAGATATGAAGACCCAGTTTGTATATGACCCTCTAATCTCCAAAAGACAGCAATATCTACTTGCTACACAGGTGAGTCATTCTATCGATCAACCTATTATGGAGCCTGAATCTTTTTCATCGTTCTAGCTTGTACGTGCCGTTTTGAAAATTGGTAAGTCCCTCTGGATTTCCACAACTTCACGAGCTTACGGATAATGCCATTTTAGACGATGTCATAGTGTCAGGTCAAGACGAAGAATAGATGGAGTCATCTAGAAGATTAAAACCCAATTGATACTGTTATACTGCATGTAATCGTTACATATTCCGTTTATCATCGAATTCATTTACAGAAATTGAGCGCTTTATCGTGAAACGATACGATCATTGCAAGTCATTGCCACAAGTAGCCCCGAATATGCACAGCATATTTTGAAATGGCAAGATGATCCGGTAGTTAAGACTTATTCTAGCTTCAATACAAAAGTATGTGAGTCATTTAGAAAATTAGTAGACTTCAAAAATGTGCGTATCAGTTAACTACGCACATACTATTCCGTGCTGTTAGCGCCTTCATGTGAAGCTTCTTCCGTATCGATGATGCTATCTATGGTCGCCGCGAATGAGATCTCGTCATCGTATTTGTCAACTTGAAGGGTTTGAGCAGCCCTCCTTGCCTCTGAATAAAATGTGAAGGATGACTTCCCTACATCGACTGACCTCCCGAAATCAATCATTCGGAAGCTGGACACATCGCTAGACGCTCGGACGGTAGGTGACTCGGTCAGTGGACCAGGTTGTACCACGAAATTACGGAGAGCAAAAGATTCATGAAGCCACCCTTCACGGTGGAATTTGTAGAGCAAAGAAGCACACTCTCTCCTCTGGTCTTTTGTGAGATTTTCTGGCGTTATCGGGGAACCACAGTCCTCGAGCAGCATGATTGGGCTCAAGTAAAGCTCTTGGGCTTCGGAAGACTTGGATCGGGAATGCTTTGACGAGGAATCCTTCTCTTCCTTTTTCGATAGCGGGTCTGTGGCATCTTCATCGATACCTCCATCGGGTGTGTCGGGAACATAATAGCCGTAGAACTGAGGGACGACGGCGCCCACCGGAACCGGATCTCGCAGAGGTTTGATTAGATTGTACCCATTCCAATGCTCAAAGAAATGTGCTGGGAATTTTTGGTAATTGCTGCATTCTATATCGAGATGATTGTCATCCTGAACTGAAAGTTTGGCTGCAACCCGCACTTTGGCAGTACGAGGAACGCCTTTCCCCCGCGGTAGATTATGCTCACAGAGTCCTGGTGCATAAGAAGGATGTTGCCATCTAATCTTTGGATGAGAGGTGATAGTCGCTGGCCCTTTGTAATCTTTTAAGGGGGGAATAATGCCGGCACTAGAAACAGACCCTGCTTCATCGAGAGCATAGCTCGACAAATCCACTTCCGCGTCCTTATGCGAAGAAATTCCTTTTGATGTTTCTTGATTGGGGTTCAAGGAACTTGCAATACAGCTATCCCTAAGTTCTTCCATGCCATCCAAGACACACGTGTTACATTTTTTATCTGCTACCAACACGGTGCGAGGAAGCTCCAATTCAGCCTTGTATACGAAGGAATGATTACCTTCACCAAGGATATGTTTGGCGGATAGGTAAAGATGAGCCTCTGGAACCATCTCTGGAGGCGAACGTCGTGGAGGAACGACGCAAACGATTGGACCGTGATCTTCTTCTTTTGGCATAAACAGAAGTTCGGGTCCATCTCTCGCTTTCTTCTCAGACGCGTCTATTGCGGCTTTACGGTCTTTGAGCTCATCCTCAACCATTTGTTGACCAGAGCTAGATAATCTGAGACTGTACGTCCGAACGATGTCCTTTTTTTGTGTCCATGGTGTGTCATGGTCTTTGTGCACAGCGCTTACTGATAAGACGTTCCAAGGGTCATGAACGACGAGTTTCTTGGGTAGAAGATGGAGTGGAAGCCGTTTTTGTAGCTTTGGGGGATCTTCAGGAAGAGCGAATGGGATAAAAGGCCACGGGTAAGGGTAGGAGGGTAAATCGAAGAAAGAAGGTTCAAATGATATCTGAGTGGCTCCTGATGAATTTGCTTGCGCCTTCCCTTTCCTCATGGAATAGCTGTCGAAATCCCCAGCATGAATTCTTTTGTCAGATTCTTCAATGAGCTTTTCAATATCATACGGTTGCAGCTGGCGTGGGTTTTCCTCTTCGTCTGCCCGACGTAACTCGTCTGCTGCGACGAATTCGCCAAATGTCCGCACCGCCTTCGCAAGTCTGCTCCCAGTGTCGGCCGACCGATGGAAGAGGTTTCGAGGCGAACGAAATACAAGGTAAAAGTCATAGAGGGTGGCTCCCCAGTACCCGATACCATTTGATGTCTCTTTTCCTCTTATGCCAGGATCATTTGCTTCAGGAATGTATTCTCCCCTTGAATCTCGGGGCCAAGCACGAAAGATAATACGTTTACGGTCATCGTTCCCAGCGTCCAGCTCCTCTCGGATGTCTGGGGGAAGTTTGTGTAGATCTACCTCTGTGGCTTCTTCTTCCGAGACGTCGCTAGAGAGCGGTGACTGTGGTGGTGGTGGTGGCGATGGCATGGCCGTTTCCGATGCAGCCGCCATCTGCGAACGTTCTATACGGCTACGCGCCTTGCTAGTGTTCAAAAAGCCGCGCTTCATCTGTGTTACTAGTAAAGATGAATAATCTAAGCCAAATTGTGCGCAGAATCAATACCGAACTTGTGGAGGAATGGACTGCTTACTGATATTATATCAGTCCGTAGTACTGATCAAGGCTGATTGTTGTTGGATGTAGCCTTGAAGGAGAACTTGAAAGGGAGCGAGTGGCATATTGCCAGGCTTAGCCACAGGAGTAGCAACTATGGTAATAGAGTAACGGTCCTCAAAGCTCGCTTACTAATCCCTGCTACAAGGCCATCGTGCACAAAACTATCATGATGAATTCAGCTGTAGATTGGACAAGTCTAGCTCAATGACATGACTATGTAGCAACCTCTCTTGGTCGCTGATGACAAGAGCAAGCGGTAATTCTAATTCTCGTCTTTGCTCTCACTCTGGCTGCTTTCCTCTTGGAACGATAGTGCGTTAAAGTCATTGAAAACCATCTTAGCCACATAGTCCTCGGGATGGAATAGATACCTGAGCATGTCTATATCATGCGCTTTTTCAATCTTCTTCCCATCCTGTGCGCTCCGGGGACGATAGATCCCATTTCGATCGACGTAAATCGAATAGCATGTTGCTTCAGCTAGACCAGCCCTATTGAAGTCGAAGAGCATAAAGTTGGTTGATGTTTCGTCTTGTTGATCTTGCACAAAGAGGTTGACATCACGAAGGTCACCATGAACGTAATCTGCAGCATGTAGCTTTTTGATGAGGCCGAAGATGGCTAGAACAGATCGCAGTGTTTCAACGACCATCTCCTCGTTCAAAGAGTGAATAAATTCGCGGTAGTGATAAATAGCTTCCAGAAAGGGCTCTGCACCGCTACACTACATGAAATCTCTTTCTTTCCCTCCGCTATCAATGCAATGAACTTCCCAGCCATCAAATGACCATCTGTTCTATATCCTTTCGAGCCATACTCGGTAGTAGAAATATCTATACCATAGGACTCAAGAATTGTTCTAAAAACGGTCATTCTTGCAGTCTCAGAAGGATAAAAGGTACACAATGACGTCGAAAGCTCGTAAATGAAATGATTGTCCTTGTAGTTTGGTTCGTAATCTTGATAATCATCCATGAACTGCGCAAATATGGGCTCCAGAAGCGTAACGGGAATAGGGCTGGCAGCTTCGGAAGGATGATTGCAAAGGAATTCGGTTCTGCATTGTTTAGCCGAGAATACAGATGGCTTTTTGCCAGACAGAGGAGCTTCAAATACATGTTTTGAAATATACTCAGTTCATTGGTAGATAGGCGAGAGATTCGGCCCAGCTAAAAGAGTTAGGAATCCGGATGATGATATGAGCATTATAAAGGGAAGAGTCAACGACAGACAGCTCACCGGTGGCTGGATTTTGAACGATGATGTGCAGGTGATCCTCCTTAGGCGGTTCGGAGAAAACTTTGGATATCTTGTCAAGACCTTTTAATGGTCGGGTGAGCTTCTTTTCCTCTGAATCGTCCCACAGACTAAGCGTGCCTTCCAGTTGCTCATCGTCAGGAAGGCAAATGGAGTAGAGATCGAGATCGCTCGCATCCACATTGCGTAACTTGTTGGTGTTGACATTCTTGATGACATCTCTGAGGTTCGAGACAGTCTCTGAACTTGAGATTTTGACATTAAAGATGCTTTCAACATCTGAACCGTAGATCCAGCAGGTAATAGTCCAGTCTGGGACCACAACAGGGAGTCCAATTGTGAGTCATAAAGTTTGCTGTCAGAAGGGTAATAGGATACAGTGATAAATGCGTACAAGAACTGGGTGCACGGACGATGATGAACCACACCCCTTCCTTAGAGTCGGGGGAAATGGCTGATAATTTGTATCGTCCGTTGAGCTTCCTTTCCTCTGAATGATCCCACCGACTAAGTGAGCCTTCCAGTTGTTCATCGTCAGGAAGGCAAATGGAGTAGAGATCGAGACCGCTCGCATCCAAATTGCGGAACTGTAAGGAGTTCTTGTTCTTGATGACATCTTTGAGATCTGAGACAGTCTCTGAACTTGAGATGTTGACAGTAAAGATCTTTTCAACATCTTCACCGTGAACCCAGCAGTTGAGTGTTTCCATGCTGTGGCACTTGGTTAGATTGACACAAATCTATAATCTATAACGAAGCATCACGAAAATAGGGGGAAATTGGCACATCTGACTGAAAATAGTCCGGAAAACGTTCTGTCCCAAACTTTTACGCACCTGCATGGGGATTAGTGTAGAAACTAGCGAAAACCTTAGATTTGAATGAAATTTAACTTAATATGGTAATTTCAGACATTACGGTTTAGTGGTGAAGTCAACGTGAAGATAAGATTCGCTATAATCTTATCATATAGAGATAAGATCGCGATAAGATTTATATTGAGAACTGATTTACACAAATGCATGAAAATGTCTGTGGGAATCCCATAAAGCGTGCACATGCCTCGAGAGAGGCCAGCACAACTTCACAAGCACTTCGTTGAATCGATAATGATCCTTCCGCAGGTTCACCTACGGAAACCTTGTTACGACTTTTACTTCCTCTAAATGACCAAGTTTGATCAGCTTCTCAGCAAACGAGTGCCGTTGCCAGCTCTCAAAAGCTAGTCCGGAGACCTCACTAAGCCATTCAATCAGTAGTAGCGACGGGCAGTGTGTACAAAGGGCAGGGACGTAATCAACGCGAGCTGATGACTCACACTTACTAGGAATTCCTCGTTGAAGAGCAATAATTGCAATGCTCTATCCCCAGCACGACAGAGTTTCACAAGATTACCCAGACCTTCCGGCCAAGGAAAATAAACTCGCTGGCTCTGTCAGTGTAGCGCGCGTGTGGCCCAGAACATCTAAGGGCATCACAGACCTGTTATTGTCTCAAACTTCCGTCGGCTAGACGCTGACAGTCCCTCTAAGAAGCCGGAGACCAGCAAAAGCCAGCCTGGCTATTTAGCAGGTTAAGGTCTCATTTGTTATCGGAATTAACCAGACAAATCACTCCACCAACTAAGAACGGCCATGCACCACCACCCATAAAATCATGAAAGAGCTATCAATCTGTCAATCCTAGTCATGTCTGGACCTGGTGAGTTTCCCTGTGTTGAGTCAAATTAAGCTGCAGGCTCCACTCCTGGTGGTGCCCTTCCGTCAATTACGATAAGTTTCAGCCTTGCGGCCATACTCCCCCCAGAACCCAAAGACTTTGATTTCTTTGTAAAGTTCTGATTAAAAACAACAACCACAAGTTTTGATTTACATAACTCAAGCTCACTCATAATTAATCAATATATCAAGTAATTTCCGCCTTGGGGGATTAAGGGGGGTTAAAGAGAAAAGAAAGCGAAGCGTAAACTATCTCCATACAGGGTTTGAACCATAAAGGTCCTCTAAGTACACTACATCTTCTCTTTCTGGAATAGGCCTTTGTGGAACAGGCTGGGCTATGCGTTCTACGACATTTCCTTGCCATTCTACACGCACTGGTTGCGGAGCTGGTTTGTCAGGTACATCGTAAAGGCGGTGGTCAAGGTTGACAACGATGGTGTTACCTGCGATCCATTCAGTGTTGATGCCCCTTGCCCTTATGTCCAATGGGTTTTCGTTTGATAGCCAAATGCATGGCTTACCCCATTTGATGGTTCACTTTGACTTGTACTTGTCGGTGACGATGAATTGCTTTTGAGCCCCAAACCAAGACTTGTAGTTTGGGAAGTGCTCTAGGCTGATGTCGTCGAGAACAATATAGTCGGATGCCTCGTTGATGTCGTCTGCATTGAACAAACTGTTCATGTAAGTATGACGACCTGTGAATTCCAAGGTAAGTATGATCGCACTTAAAACATGTCTTCAAAGACTCACCTAATGATCTAGCCCATTCCGTTTTACCGGTCCTAGTCGGGCCCCAAACCACTAACAATTTAGGCCTATCCCTTTTAGGCATCTCATTAGTTACCCAATCCCTCATTTCCTCTGTCAGGTGTGGGAATTCAGTAACTTCCAATACATATTGTTCCGGCTCGGCGGGCCAGTGCTTGTCGGCAGAGTTGATAATTTTGTTGTGGTTAACGACCCAATCATATGGCCTGAACGTTTGGACCTGCTCCTCGTACTCGTCCCTAGACAATGAGGCGATGATATGACCCCACTTTTCGTCCTTCTTAGCTTTTCCCATTCCTCCCTCTGCATCGAGGACGGCCTCTGGACCCTGCCAGGGTCCAAAGTGGTCCGCCCCTTCTTCTTTCTGGAGGTAGGTCCAGGCGTTGCATACAGACTTTGCAGAAGCCAGCCTGAGAAAGAAGTTAGGTTAGCGTCATGAAACTTGGACCAGCACTTAGGTCCCGCTTAGCCACACCTAACTCCCCAATGTAAATGCTCACCTGTTAAGGATAAGTGTTGGGGATATTAATCACGTGCCGCCGAAGGCGGTGCGAAAAACAGGCGAAAAACCTGGTTAGCAAGTTAGGGTTAAGGTTAAAGTTAGGGTACTTACGTTTTAACGTTTGGATGTATGCCATCCACGTCGAAGAAGGCGGGGTTTCTTGATCTGATTGGCACATCGAATTTGACGATGACATGCCAATGGGATCCCCCGTCCTGGTGGTGCTCTCTAATAGCAGCCCATTCCGCCAGTTGCAGCGATAATTGGGCGATCACATCAGAAAGGGCCTGGTTGGGCCTATCTCCGATCTATCCGGAAGGGCAGGTAATGTCTTGTTTAAGTTTAATTCGCTTATCTTATGTAATGGATGACTCACTTGGGAATATGTCAGTAGCATGTTTCTTGCTGACCAACGGAAGTTGGGGTTACCTCCTTCATGCCTCTCTCCACGTTGAGCATGACGTGCATTAGAAGCCTCTGAGTGCGCCGATGCGACAGAGGGCGCAGGTGAAGGCTGAATTCGACGTTGAAGTCGGCGATTTGGTGCCGGTGACAACGACCAGTTACTGATACGGTCGTCGGCGATTTCTCCATTACCCCTAGCAGAGGGGGTGGCAGGAACAGAAGGGGCGCATACTGATTGAGGAGCAGGAGAAGGTGTTAAGGTTGATAGTGTGGAAGGAAGTGACCAAATGAAACTCGCCATCGTGGCAGGTGTAGTGAGAGTAGGAAGGAGACCCATCATGTGCTTATATATCCCTTAGAGGGTAGTGATGTCACATGCGTGATGCAGACCGTCCCCACATAACTTAACATTGGTGGGGACGGTCTCTACCCTCTACCCACTTACCTGAAATGGACAAGGAATACCCAGTTCACACGGTTGTTGTCCAATCAGATTCTTTGATTAGGCTTAATCTACCTATATTGGGAAAGTTGGGTGCGCTCTCACGGTGCCCCTACCTAGTTAAAGGTCTACCCATCCATAAATAGACCTCTACCCAGGCAACCGGAATCATTTGTAATTAGGTTCAATCAGTCAGCTTGACGTGAGAACTGTCGTTAAGCACCCTGGATCATTTAACCCGTTAAAGCTTAGCTGGCGCAGCTAAAAAAAATGTTTGTTCTATAATAGGACACAGACCCTGGTTGCTAGCTCTCACGCTTCACAGCCTTCTAAATCAGATGATTAATCTATTTGTCATGCTGCTGCGCATCAGTCAGCATACTTCTAAGAATAGATTTTTTTCCCATCTGCTGTTAACATCTATAAATACCAGTTAGTAAGATGAAGTTTTCTTCAATGAACCATCATGTCCGCTTCACAATCGAAACAGTGCCCCTCTCCTCGTTGCCAGTCTCCCAACCCCTTCCTCGATCTAGAGGAGGCTCCTACCCGGCCCAATACGCCGTACAGCCTTGCTGAGGCTCCCAACCCAGTCCCCCCGTTGTGCAACCACCCCAGTCATGGGGTGAGTCACTGGGACAAGCATCCCCCCACTGTCGACCATCATTTCTTCGAAATGATGCTCCGCTTCGTGGAGCGGTACGAGGTGTCGGAGGATGGGTTCCGCCACCTCCTTACCGGGGTGAGGCGGGCCCTCAACGATGTGGGGTCCCACGAGCTCCCACCCCAGTCCCCATGCCCCCCCGGTCGCAAGGTAAGTAATTTATTTTTATTATTTCAATAGTCTTACTTATTTTAAGGAAATCAACGATTTGTTCCGTACACCCGGCCCTGTGACATTCACAGAGTCCCGTACCCCCGCCCTCCAAACACTTGTACAAGGCCGGGAAGGACCATCCGCTGACGGAGAGGAGGTCCCTAGAGGCCCATTGGAAGAGGCTGGCGAAAGCCCGCCTCGCTGTGTCGCCTCGGCGTCAGACAGCGAGGTTAAGGCCGGTAGTCCCTCTCTTCCCGGACCCCTTGGCGCCCCCGCCCTCTCCCAGTCGGAAGAGGACCTTTGGAGATGTGTCTCCCCAGGCCCCTGGCCTGACGTCCCCTCCGAGGACTCTGCTGCCCTACCTCCTTCCCCGGGCCCAGCGATGGATGAGCCCGCAGGACGAGTTCTCGCTGCAGGTGCCGGAGAATCAGCGGTACCTGATGTCGATCGGCCCGGATTACGAAGAACTCACCGTTGTCGGCAGTCATCCCGGGTGCCCGGTAATTTGGTACGTGGCACTGCAGGAGGTCGTAGACTCCGCGCTGGCGACAGCGGGAGAACCCCTCCAGCCCTGTTTGTACCGCGCTCTGAAATCCGCCTTTCGCTCGACAAAATGAAGTTGAGAATGGAAGGTTTGCGGCAGGACCTGGTGTTCCTGCTGGCAGGTGATGATATGGCTAACTTGGAGAAGGCCATAGAGGAGCACGCTGCCCAGGCGTATCGGGATGGGTTCGCTGCGGGGCGGGGTCGGTCCAGATCTGATTAATTACTATAGTAGCATTAGTAATTATTTTGGATCTGTGTTAAAAAAAAATAAAGTCGTCATTCGGAGTTTGAAATGTGTGAAAAACTATAAATAGCCTGAGTTGTGTAAGTAGTTTCATTTCCCTTCTTGTTTTATGCTTATATGCCACGTCGCAGTTATGGCGTGGTTCATTGTAACAATAAATTCCACAAATGTCGTACGTTTTGCCGTCGCAAGACAGCTCGTGTTTCACGAGGACGGCGCCGTCGGAGCGGACGGAAGTTGGGCTCCCGAACTGTCCGCGCCAAATCGCGTTATTCACGCCGTGTACGATCCAGATATTCAAAGGCAACACGCCGAGTTGGTTCACGTATTGAGGAACTTACGTATACCGTTGTCGAGCGAGCTGCGGATGAGTCAATTACTAAGGTCCCCTTGAGATTTGATACCCGCAATCGCATGGTAGACACTTGCGCTACCGCAGCTTATGCGCAGCATTATACGGTGCAGTTGAATCATATACCTTATTCGACCAATAGGAACATCCGCAAACATCGTCATTCCACTCGTGCGAAGGTGGTAGGTGTTTGTACCAGATTTGTTTTCCGGATCAGTCCGCAAAGTCAATGGATGATACGATTTTTATTTTATCACGTGGACGCCAATGCCGTCGATCCCCAGAGGGAAACATTTCGAAACAAAGGAGTCGCCCGCAGTTTTCAAGATGAATATGGAACTTACAGGTCCGCGCCCGTCGGGTTTACTGGTAAAGTAGTCAATTGTTCTGATGACACATCTGGAGACCCTCACTTCATGCCGTTTGATTGGATGCATCGTCAATCTTATGGTTTGGAAAGAAGGGATGTTTATATGTACGGTTATCCTGTTCGAAGCACAGGATTCAGACCGTTCTATGAGCTCAGAAGAACATTTAAGAATGGATCTGGTGTCGCCCAAAATCAACCCTTTAATTTATTCAAACCTATGAATCATACATACGAATACAATGAGGACGTTGATGAATTTTCGTTCACCAAGTTGGATCACCCGAACCCCAATCCTACTCGCAAGGCGTTATTTTTCACTATGATTGCCTATTGTGTTGCCCCCGGACCTCGTATGGACTTTGTCCCTCCCAACTACAAACCGCTCGACAAAGATCATAAGAAAAAGTTTGTTACAGGCCGACCTTCTCACTCTGTTAATCGTGATAGGTTTGACAATCCTTATGATCGTCTTCCTGGTGAAAGTGAAGCCGCTTTTGAGGCACGCGTGGAAAACCTGGATGCAGCTGTCAATGAAACCACTGGAGCTGGTTGGGGAGATTCAATCTCTACACTTCAGCAACAGAAGAGAGCTGCCGTGAAAGGCAAAGCCAAGCAGCCTGATGCCGGGCCTTCAAAACCGAAAACACGATCAGCATCGAAGGCAGAAGAGGATGGGGATAGCAGTGATGATTCGGATGATGGATCGCCCGTAAAGGGACTCAATCCTCTCAACGTAGGGCCAGAATTTGCGTGGCTTGAAGCCGAATTGACCACACGTGTGTGGTTCCGTGATGCACCAGCTTTACGGACCAAGAAACTTGGCAATTTCGAGCCTATAGAGATGGTTAGCTAGCTCCATTTGTAACATTTCCGCATAAATATATTTAATACTGTCCCAAAAAGAACAAAAAGCCGCCCGGCAGACTAAGTGAGTGAAAGAAGAGAGCGAAGCGTGGATGCAAGCGCCCAAAGTCACCCTATCAAAGAATCCCCACCTTGTGCATATTTAAGTAACTCCATATGCACGTAGCAACCCACCCCTTCATTAACCTCCGCCCAGCAAAAGCCGGCCTGGCTATTTAGCAGGTTAAGGTCTCGTTCGTTATCGGAATTAACCAGACAAATCACTCCACCAACTAAGAACGGCCATGCACCACCACCCATAAAATCATGAAAGAGCTATCAATCTGTCAATCCTAGTCATGTCTGGACCTGGTGAGTTTCCCCGTGTTGAGTCAAATTAAGCCGCAGGCTCCACTCCTGGTGGTGCCCTTCCGTCAATTACGATAAGTTTCAGCCTTGCGACCATACTCCCCCCAGAACCCAAAGACTTTGATTTCTCGTAAGGTGCCGAACAACACATCAAAAAGAGGTTGTCCGATCCCTAGTCGGCATAGTTTACTGTTAAGACTACAACGGTATCTGATCGTTTTCAATCCCCTAACCTTCGTTCTTGATTAATGAAAACATCCTTGACAAATGCTTTCGCAATAGTTAGTCTTCAGTAAATCCAAGAATTTCACCTCTAGCAACCGAATACTAATGTCCCCAACTGTCCCTATTAATCATTATGGCAACTCTAGAAACCAACAAAATAGAACCGCACATCCTATTTTATTATTCCATGCTAATGTATTTGGGCAAAAGGCCTGCTTTGAACACTCTAATTTTCTCAAGGTAAAAGTCCTGGTTCCCCGATGCACCCAATAAAGGGCACACCGGCTCACCAAAAGGAAAGGCCCGGCCAGACAGTACAATGCCGTGAGGCAGACCACCCACCCAGGCCCAAAGTTCAACTACGAGCTTTTTAACTGCAACAACTTTAATATACACTATTGGAGCTGGAATTACCGCGGCTGCTGGCACCAGACTTGCCCTCCAATTGTTCCTCGTTAAGATATTTAAATTGTACTCATTCCAATTATAAGACCCAAAAGAGCCCTATATTGTTATTTATTGTCACTACCTCCCCGTATCGGGATTGGGTAATTTGCGCGCCTGCTGCCTTCCTTGGATGTGGTAGCCGTTTCTCAGGCTCCCTCTCCGGAATCGAACCCTTATTCCCCGTTACCCGTTGAAACCATGGTAGGCCTCTATCCTACCATCAAAAGTTGATAGGACAGATATTTGAATGAAGCATTTCCGGCACAAGGCCATGCAATTTGAGAAGTTATTATGAATCACCAAACGAGTGGCAAGCCGCGTTGGTTTTTTATCTAATAAATACACTCCTCCCAGAAGTCGGGGCTTTGATTGCATGTATTAGCTCTAGAATTACCACAGTTATCCATGTAGCAAGATATCATCAAATAAACTATAACTGATTTAATGAGCCATTTGCAGTTTCACAGTACAAAATTGTTTATACTTAGACATGCATGGCTTAATCTTTGAGACAAGCATATGACTACTGGCAGGATCAACCAGGTAACTACTATTCCCTAGACTTGCACCTCACGGCACACGTCAAGCCTCCAAAGGAGGTTCACAAGAAACCTCCCCAACAGAGGTCGGAGTTCATCAACCTAGACAGATATCAAAAGGCTCCCCCATTCCAGCTCCGATCTCCAAAAAGCGGGAACACTGAGATAGACTACACAAAGACCAGAGCATACAAAAAGAACTTCAGCCCTGTGAATTGAGGATTAGATAGTGTAAATAGAGGAATGAGACAATTAAGCTCACAATGCCAATCTACGAGCAAGAATAGCTGCCTCATAAGCGTTGAATCTCGCAGCGGCTGCCTCATTACCAGGCTTGCAGATATCCTCAATGACTGCAACACATTTAGCATAAAAATCCCGATACACACCCGCCTGGAAATATACATCATCAAAAACACCAGTTTGGTGTTCCTTGAGGGATGCGAACAAAGTGGAGTGGTCTGGTTGTTTGTGGGGTGGTACGTACAATGATCCTTCAAAGTAAAACCCAGAGATGTATGGGTGTGGGTTTTGAGGAGGAGGGATAGTTGATTTATAGAGGATAGGGGCTTTATAATGAGAACGGACAAGCACTACCTTGCTAATTTTAGCACAAGGTAGGTTTGAGAACGACAAGATAATGAGGTGATTGTTAGGCTATGAGAAGACTAAAAGAGAGTATTTCTCAGTCTTATAATCAAGAGACTCATATTGAAGGATAATATACCTAAAAGAGAGTATTTCTAATAGTGTAAAGTGAGTATGATGATATAAAGTAAACTGTAAGATAACCAGACATACCTCAGTCTTATAATCAAGAGACTGAAGTTTGTGTAAGGTAGAGTGCTACGAGTTTTTGGAATAAGTGTGGGAAAGTTTTGAGCTTATGTAATGTAGTGGAAAAGCGGTCAAGTAGAGATGAAAGAATGGTGTATGGAAATGAAGAAATAAAAGGATAAAATGATAGGATGTGAGTGTATCATAAACAGGATATGCCAACAGTGACAAGGTTCCCAGTGATAGCAGGCTCCTGACGCACAAACTGTAGTGCTTAGAAGGACTCTAATCGAAAGGGATGTCAATGATTTTCAAAAGTGACGAGTGACAATGACAGCAGTTAACAGTGGTAGCAGTGGGAAGTGTTGTGACCACACTGGATCACAAGTAGCAGAGTAGTGAACTTGAGATTAGAGAAGAAGTCTGGATTGGAGTTCTTGTTTTGTTTTCACAAGGTAAAATACAGGGGTTTATATAGTGAAAGAAAAGTAGGCTATGCACAGAATAGCTGTGCAAAAAGAATGAGAAAGAACATGAAGGAAGGAATGTATGCTGATAAATCCTGCGTAGGTAGTACAGAATAAGATTGTCAAAAAAAGGAAAAGAAAGGGATAGAACAATGAATGCTGTGAGTAATGTCACAGATTTGTACAGCCATAAAGTAAAGTCCAATAGCAAAAAGAGAGCAGGAAAATCATGATGTCATGGGAAGATACAGTAAAAAAAGGGCAAGGCAAAAAAATATCAGTATCAACACAGTTCCTTTATTGTCAGTCAGGCATTCTAAAAAAACATGTGTCCATAAAAATGATACAAAAATCAAAAATAATCACACTGTAAATGAATGTTCTGCTGAAAAAAAAGAAACTGGAGCCACCGGTCCACCACCTAGTCCAAATCCGACGGTTCCATGGCTTTACCAATGGACTGGTTGTACTGGACCACCTGGTCAAACGAGGGAGGGAGGGGAGTAGTTTCAATTTGGAACAAGTGAGTCCCAGGCAGTGTGTGGTAGGTGTAGCTGTAGCAAAGATAATGGACGAAGGACAAATGTTCCCAAGTGAATGGGACGGTGATGTACATAGGCATCGCAAAGGGATGAACTTCTCCAGCTCAAAAACTACCCACCCACGCTCCAACCAGGCAAGACGAGCAATCAATGATTTGATAGTATACAATGGAAGGTTGACGTTATGAAGATGGACCTTTTGCCCAATTTGGACTGGCCGCCGGGGCTTTGCTGATATCAGCAGCGGCACGTGGTGGTTAACAGATCAGCGACGGAAGCAGATAGAAAGTGGTGACATCAGGTATGGTGGGGGAGCAAAGAGGACAAGTAAGAGGAGGGTAGAGGTGACAAGGAGGTGAACTAGAATGGGAATCCAGAAGCGACCGTTAGGTGAGAATAAAAAAGAGAGCAAGGGTCTCATGGTGGGGCTGAGCAAAGAAAAAAAGTAAGGGGAAACAATGAAAGCAAGGGCGCAATGTGTAGCCAGTGGTGATGTGAAAATTTGCTGAAATGCCGAAATGCAGAAAGTACCGAATGGAAAAGCAAAGGTGAGCATGACTGGATTGCCTAATAGAGGTGGTGCTGATCAGCCACAAGTTTGAAAAAGGCAATATTAATCACTATTCCACATGGCACTGTGCCTGTGTGGCGCAAAGGCGAGTCTTTTTGAATATCCGCTGACAAAACCGGATAAACCCGGTCTCTGCCAAAGCAGCCATTGTTCTCCATGGAGCATAGCCACCACTCCATGGAGTAACCATTGTACTCCTAGGAGTCATTATACTGTAGCGAGTAGCACCTCCGACTATAAGTAGTAGGGGGTTTAGTATAGAAATACCTCAGTCGTTTCTATAGCCTCTTGGGCAGCTGCTGAGATATGTTACATTACATTTATTAGAGATCACCTTAAACTAGCATCCATTGTAGTTTCACATAGGTAAATAATATAGTCGTTTCTATAGCCTCTTGGGCAGCGGCTGAGTTTCACATAGGTTTATTAGGTTATGAGCCCTGGTGCGCAAAAGCTACGCAGGAAATAATTCTTATTTGAAACAGCAACCTCGGAACCATGACCACAGCACACGATACATCCGCATGTCCAGTTCTCACTGGACCCAACAATTTTCAGATATGGAAACTCCGGATCATCTCAAAGCTACGTCGGGAAAAAGTTCTCCGGGTTGTTATTGGAGAGGAGCTTAAGCCCTCACCAGGAAAACCTACCTCCTCGGAGGATCCTGAGATCACCTGGATACTTAAGGATGAGAAGGCACATGGAATCATCCAGGACCACATCTCTGATGCCCTCCTAATGAGGACTGAAGACCTCACCAGCTCCAAGGAGTTATTTGATAAACTTGTCTCACTCCATCAAACGTCCAACATTGCCTCAGCCTTCTATTCATTCCAGCAACTCACCAAATTGTCCTGGGATGGGACATCACCTATCCAGGACCACATTGCGAAAATCTGGACAATTGATTCACACCTCTCCGGAATGAAACTAGGAGTTGATACCAAACTCATGGCTTTTGCTCTTCTCCAATCTCTCCCATGCACTCCTGAATGGCAAATATTTCAGTCATCAGTAATCAACACGATTGAAGAAAATAAACTTACCTTTGATGCAGTTGAGATCCGGATCACTGCAGAAGTTGCACGACAGTCAGGGAAGGCCCCTGGAGGTTTTGAATCAGCACTCAAATCCGAGGAGAAATGGTGTAACTTCCACAAAGCCAAATCACACAACACCTCAGAGTGTCGAACACTTCAGTCAGCTGAAAAAGGTCAAAGGAAGAAGGGAAAGGAAAGACACAAGGATAAAGGAAAAGAGAAGGAAAAGGCAAATACAGTGGAGCAATCATAGGAAAGATGAAGAAATTACCTTTCAAGTCCACTGGAGGAAACCGAGCCAAGCACCCCATACAAATTGTGCACACAGATGTTGGAGGACCAATTAAACCAACTTCCAGGGAGGGTTTTTGGTACTGGATTATCATTGTAGATGATTTCTCCAAATTTCCATGGATATATTTCCTAAAACATAAAAGTGAAGCACTGGAACAATACAAGCAATGGAAAGAAGATGTCCAAACATTCTTCCGGACTCATTTGGGAGAAGAAAACTTCACTCCACTATACACAGAATTCCTCCGGAGCGATGGGGGAGGAGAATATACTGGCAATGCATTCAAAAATCAACTCTGAGGAGATGGTGTCATCCAAGAAACTACAGCTGCAGATACTCCGGAACAAAATGGCATTGCAGAACGCATGAATCAGACATTGGCTACATTAACAACCACTATGCTCCATGATTCCAAGCTCCCAAAGTCATTTTGGGTAGATGCCATGCAAACAGCTGCATATATCACAGCACGCAGCCCAGCATCAGGACTCCATGGAAAGACCCCATATGAAATACTGTTTAAAAGGAGAGTTGATCCAACTTTGTTTCGCCCTTTCAGATGCCAAGCATATGCCTTGATTTCGAAAGACAAAAGGCAAGGGAAGTTTTACTCCAAGGGGCGCAAAGCCATAATAATTGGCTACACACATGGAAAGCAAGCTTACAAACTCCTAGACACTGAAAGACGGACTGTGTTTTCCAGTCGGCATGTTATATTCAATAAATCCGGAAAGGTACAAAAGGATGACACTGCTCCCTGGAACACAGACACTAGCACAGATCAGTGGGAGGGACTCATTCCAGAGAATGCTCACTATCCAGACCAAAAAACATTGGAGGAGGATGATCCTGACCCTCAGATCCGAGATCCAAATGAATTGCAAATGGAACCACATCTCCAAGGAGATATTCCACAAGCAATGGAACCATATCAGCATGAAGATGTTCCGAGAGCAGTGGGGCAATACCTCCGTGGAGACATTCCGAGAGCAGTGGGAGCACCTGATCAGCTAAGACACCCTCCACAACAGTCTCTACAACCAAGACCTGAACACTGGCCATCTTCAGAACGGAAAGCCAAAGCAGAGTTACAGTCAGTGGGGGGACAGCCCCTCAACATACAGCTAGCTGATGTGGAAAAAGTCTGAATACAGCTAGACAGCCTGTCCAATGGATCAGCTTCAGGGAGGCTATCACAACACAATGGGATCTGCACCCGTGTACAGTGATTCTGGACCTTCTGGGCATGCAACCAATCAGTATGCTTTCCAAGTACACCTTGGTAGCTTAGTTGGTAAAAGCACCAGACCATGAAAGCTGGAGTCCCAGGTTCAAGCCCTGGCCAATGCATGTTTTCTCATACTATAAACAAATGTCATAATTTGTCATCCGCTTCATTTTTGACACCTGTCCATGCTACCAATCAACTTTGGTGCATGACACCGGTGTGTAAGTTTGCAAGTTGATAGCTACTGTATACTGCTAAGTCCCATCTTATTAAACTGTTGTGCCTATTGCACTGACATTAATATGAGTGTATAGGTCACTGTTATCTGATTCATACCTGATCTTCCTCAAGAGCATTGAGGGGTGAGATGACAATGGTGATCTTCCTTTGTGCCAGCCCATACAACACAATCCAACCCAAGGTAAAAGGTTTCACTGGCATCAGCTTGCCAAACATATGGTGTCCATTGATTGCAGGCTGACTGGACTGCACACTCGAGGGCCTGTCGAATATTAGAGCTGGAATACCCAGACTGGGTACCTTGGGACTTGATGCGAGCATTAACTAGATTAGTGTAGGATTTTCTTTCTCTTTCTTGGTGGGAGGTTGGCCAAGAGGGGACAGAGGGCATGAAAAGAGTGATTGTGTTATTATAGTGTTGTATGGTTTTTCGTATATACAGAGAGCCACTTGCGGTTTCACCAAGTGCTTACAGTAAAAATAAAATCAATCCTATTTGAGCGGCACGGAAGCACCCCCGTTCCCGTTTGGGACGTCTGGTTCACGAGACTAGAACAGGGAAACGTGTTGATAAAAGCAGTGCATTAGAAAACAGGCGAGGAAAAATATAAAATAAACACCAACTTAGCAGCAACTTGTTTCGATCAAGTGACCTCAGGGTTATGAGCCCTGCGCGCTTCCACTGCGCCATGCTGCTGTTATACTTTGGCCGATAATTGTGCATCACGATAAGGATGTCCCAAAAGAGGAAAGTGGATGAAAAGAACGTCTAACTTGAAGTCTGGTCCTGTTCCACATTCAACGAAGCGGTTCATTGCACTATAATCGCAACCTCGCTCTACCATGGATTCGATGGAGACGCACACTTGGCTCAGGAGCAGGGAAAATGATATTGGATTAAATTATGAGAGTATTGCCACAGTATCTGGTCATACGAGCGCACAAGGCGCGGTCTAGGATAGTCTAAAGTACAGTTAGCCCCTCTATTTCCTCGCAGCAGCAGCCTTCGCCGCTTCGCTCAGGGGTTTACTCCACCTCGCCTCGGGTGGATCCCAAATGCCTAGTTCCCTCTTCATTTCCTCGACATCCTGGCCCCACCTCTCCTCCCAGTATACGGTAATCAAGCTCCTAGCACTGCCTCCACACTTCACAGCCCACGGCAGATACTCGGAAAACAACCTAGCCCTTTTTTTGGCGTCGAGTCTGAGATGGCCAAACACGCCCGAGATGGCAGCGACAGGTAGTCCGAGGTTGGCAAACTCGAAGAATTTGAGTGCGAGTTCTGATTCGACGTTGACGGGGAGGGAACATATGCAGTGGTAGAAGTCGTGACATTCTCTGTAGCGCTGCATGACATAGGCGAGCTCTGGGTCGTCGATGTAGTGGACCTGGCGATATTGTTAAATAGGACGGGCGATGTAGAAGAGGACGGGACATACAGGTTCGCGGGTATCGGGGGTGACGCCACAGCGTTCGAGCCAGGTGACGTAGGATCGCCCAAAGGTTCCTTGTGGGTACTGTGCAAGCTTGTGCATGTCGACAGACTGCGAGGTTACTCTGGGGCGTTGCTTGAGTATGCGCCTTCCTTCTGGGCTTTCAAGCATGCGATCCCTGAGTATGTCGAGGCTCGGTCCCGCGGTGGTCTCGCCAAGAGCGGCAACCATATCTAGCCCCCGTTACTGGTATAAGTATAGAGTAGAGTGTGTGGCTCACCGCCGCGTCTTGGGTTTGCGAGAGAGATCAGTGCAGAGCCAGCAGCGAGAAAAGCATTCTCAAAGCGGTTCAGGGGGATGTGGCCTTGGTAGGCCGGATGTTGCGAGCCCACAGTAGGCGAAAAGAAGGAACGGGCTATAGGTTTGACATAGGGAGTGGATCTGCGTGCGAAAGAGGCGAGCACCGACATTGGTAGACAACAGAGCTGTGAGTAACTCAATGATTGTCGACACACACAAACCCTAACCCGAATGCAGCTATTGTGGCCACCTCGACTCGCGATTGATCATTCTCCGTATGACAATCAGCACATCAGCAAGATAGTCGGCCATCTGTCCACCACCACCCGTTAGGCATCCCAAGAACAATAACACCGTCCACAAAAACAAAGCAAATGGATACGTCCACAGAGGAGGTGGACGTGGGTGGCCTGGTTACTATTCACCACCACTGGCACAGGGCGCGACTTGCTATCGGTGCGGTGTGGCCTCTCATCAGAACATTCTCAATAGCTTTGACCGTGGCCAGCCTCAGCCACTCTTCAAAGCGTCACCTCACCCTCGACTCTATATAAACCTCCTATGATCTTCACTCATCTCAACGTGCATCGCGTTCCCCTTTCCCCGCATTCACTCTCATCGTCCAACCCACTCACACCCTAAATGGCCCCTACATCTCTCCCCGTGCCCCCCGGCGAGCAGGACAACACCGGTGAACGCTCTCTCTCCATCGATCTCTCGCACCTGCGACAGGTTCTACGCCGGCACAAGCAGCCAGCACAAGCACAACCTAACACACGCCGCTACGCTGCCCTCTTCCACATCCCCAATTGCTGCAGTCTCCCCACGGACACAGATGCAGACACCGTCTCTGACTACGACGGCGATCTCGATGAGTACCTCGATGGTGCCCAGTCTCACGCAGAGCACCGTGATCTCGAGTCTGACGTCGATTCCGTGTCAGACGACGAGAGTCAGTGGGAGTATGTCCCTCCCACCGCGTACTCTGCTGTCACTTCCCCAGACCACACAAACGCGAGCCTCATCTCCACCGTCAGTGCTGCTCAAGAGATCGCTGCTTTATATCGTGCCATGTACTGCGACCCCGAGGAAGTCCAGGAGAGCGTGCACGAGGACGGACAGGAACAGGGTATCTGTGATAAAGAACTCCCAAGTATTCCAGACGTAGGCAAGGACGCGATATCTGTGTACACGGTCGCCCCTTCTCTCTCTTGCCACTCAGCCTTGGACGTCTCTCCACCCAAGCCGATCGAGGACCTTAAACTCCGTCGCCGCCGCTCAGATGCCAATGCGCTAGAGGAAGCTGTGAGTCCCTTTCCTTGTCACCTTCCCTTTCCTCGCCCCTGTCCTTTCCTAACACACCGTGTATTCATATACTCACATATCCTCGTATTATTATGACAGGAACGCGAAGCTCTTCAAGTCCTTCAGCGCACAGGACTAGGCAGGTCAGACCGCGTGACATGCCAGCGTCCGGGGTGCTACGACACGCTCCACAGCCTCAAGTCACTAACATTCCACATCCACATCCACAACATTCACGAAACGTACGTCCGCCCTCTCTTTCCACTCCTTTATTGTTCCATTGCTAACGCACCCCTCCCGAACAACAGTGTTCGCCACGCACGTCACCGACACGCCCCTGGAGGGCTCGGACTAGGAGTCGCGTGCGCAGAGTGCGGGAGACACTACGAGTGCGCGCGTGAGCTGAGTATGCATGCGTGTGGACGCCTACCCAAGGGGGTGCAACGTAAGAGGGAGGGAGAGGGGATGGGGACGTCGGCAGGCCCTTGTCCTTCCTCCATTCCACTCCCCTTGTCTCCCCCGATGAGTCCTATCCGTGGTGAGTAGATGCCCCTAAGCCCTTTGCGGGTGTCAGGGTGTGAATATCGTTTGCTGATGAGAGGATTGTTTTTTTTTTTTGATAGATGGGTTCCGTCGTGTGTTTTTGAAGCCCTGTTTGGAGGACGGCTCTAGCTTTCCGTGAAAAAAATAATGGGGACGGTGAAGTGCGTCCTTGGTAGATGCGCCGAAAACTGCAAGGACCTTCTTTTCTTCCTTCTTCCCATTTCACTATATTTTAATTTTACAACTTGCTTTCAAAAAAAGAAATATTCTGGTTATTTGTAGTACTCGATCTTATCTTCATCTACTGTATCGCTTAGCTTTTTTCTTCCTTCTTTCCGTTTCCTATTCTTTCTCATGTTTTTCTTTCTAATCTCTCCTTCACGTCGGGGCTGTTATGTCTCTCAATCTACTCGTTTGTAATCATTCACCACTGTCTATTGTATCTCTTAGATTTTTCTCTTTATCTACTTCCATTTTATACAACACCTTCATATCGTATGAATAGATACCACTTTCCACTTTTTATTTTATTTTCTCGACTCTTTCCCCACAATACCAGCATAACCGCAATTAGATCATCTCTCGCTTTCTCATCTCCCCCACCTCTCACTCTCTTTTTTGTTCCTTTCTCCTTGTCTTCCCCATCTCATCCTTGTATCGCTAGCTTTCTCTCTCTTCCTCTCCCTCTCCAGTCCATCCCTCTTAAAAAAGTTTTTATTGTTATTTCCCTCGTCGTCGCTAGCACTGTTATCTCGAGTCCTTTCTCTATAGCTACCTGTCCTTCTCTCTGTTTTTGTTTCAGGAATGATCGGACTATTGCATACATTGGCCCGGGACTACTATAATAGACCATGACTTTGATGGAAACTACACCTGCACCCCAGGATTGAAATAAATGTAGATTGTGGGGCTGGTCTGTTCCTTCTTGCTCCCCCACTTCCCGTTTAGGAAGGGTGTAGCGGAAACACATGGATGCCGCGTGCGTCTCACGTGGGAGTAAGCGAGCATGCCACAAAGCACTGCGCTCTCGCCACTACGGGCACAACTTGTCTATCGCTGCTCCCCAAGGTCCACTCGAATTCTGGCAACGACTGGGCAATCAATGAACTAGACACATATCATATCACATAGATAGGTTTTCCTGACCCCTCGATTTCTTTGGTGTGCGGTGGTTGCAGCCACCGCATGTTGATCCACAGATCCTGGATCACGCAGAAGGCACTGCTATGATGCAGGACAGAAATGCGGGGCTCATCGGTTTGCTTGATTTGGCGATGCACCCCCGCCCAAAGTCTGGAGAAAGCGTAGCAAGACCGATGTTTGCCTTGTCGACCGTTCTCAGAACGACATACCTCTATTTAGTACTTGGTCAAGGGGACAAACGTATGGATGGCCCATTTTCTCGAGCTGGAGCTTAGCTTGTCGCGGAGGTTGTAGGTGTCTTTTCGCAGAACTATCAGGGCAGGAGGGATGTGGGGCTGCCTCCGTTGGACGAGAAGGTGTGTGGCGTATTCACGTATTCAACGATTTCCCCCGATAGATTATGCCTGGAATCGTGATTGTTGGGTACGACACCCGCTTTCGACAAGATCCCTACTTCCCAAAGCCTCGTATATCATATCTTCCATGGTACCTATCCTCCTCTCACGCACGTTACTTGTTGCCCTGTCCCTATCCTACGTCCTACCTACAGATATGGCGGCATGACGCCGTTAGACAACAGAACGAATATGTTTAGGCTGCTGTGAAGCTTTCAAGGGGATTGTTGGAATATGACTTGGAGTCGACGTTGTTATACCGTACATTATTTGCTGGTTTTCACATAAAGAGATATCATTTGTGATGGTTTGGGTGGAAATGCAGAGTGGTTATCGAAATGTCTGGATCAAATCTCAGATGAGAGCGTCAAGGCATGTGACGCTGGCAGTCACACTCTATTAACTTTGACTTCATCTACGGTGACATGCTCCTTTCGCTTCGTTTCATATTCCTTCCTCATGTGTTCGCTGTGAAACATCACGCATCATGATAAGGTCGGCGTTTGCTCAATATTTAGAGATACAAGCAAAAGTATTTTGGTTATAACTTTACTACAAATGTCAATTTTACCCTCTATTTTCCAAGTTGTCTGCAGTGCAATGTTACGAACCGCACATTCTCCTCAAGTTACGCTTATCCGCATGCTGATGCTTGTCCATCTCGCTAGGACATAGCTAATAGACCATAGGAGGATAAGGTCATGGTATGCACAGCTTCACCTCACGCACACCACACCCATCGTTCTCGTGATGACCACAGCGTTACCTCAGGAGAGCTATATCCTTGCCTTACCATATCTTTATGGCCTTCATTCACAATCATGAGCCTACATCTTCGCATCACAGTGATGCACCCATAAAACTCGTTGTATTATCTTAGCCGTGGTGCGCATAGGTTTCAACGATCAGCCCTCACTCGCAGGAATCAGCATACACGTGTATCCTGCGCTGTTTTCTGTCCCCCGTGATCCTGAACAGCCCGGGGTGGGATGCATGCTCGCTTCGGGCAAATTGAAGTTTAGACTCGAGGCGGAATGTGTGTATGCCGTGTGTCTATCGCCCTACACCCTCATTATAAAATGCTCATGCTATCGGGTCTTTGTCCCATCGTCTCTTATTTCTTCACTACGGTATCCTTCTCAACCTTCATTCGGTTTTATCTTGATCTTTCAATTTCACCAAGCTCCTGGCGAGCTTACTGTGACTTCTCGTATCTTGCAACTCTAAAGCCCCTGGCGAGCCTACTACGACTGCTTATATCTTCAGACTCTCAGTCCCATCATATCTCTTCGCATCTGAGGCCGGCCCTTCGTCAATCTACTCTTACACCCTCTCATTACTCCTCAATCATAAACGCTAATTAAAGATGGCAACTATCCCCAACGCGCTTTCCGTTCTCTCTACCGTAGCCACGCAATACTTGGCTTCCCAAGCTCAAGCTCACAACGGCACTCAAGGCGCCCCCCGTGCAGCCGCAGCAGGGCCCGCAAACCTATGTGATGTGCGTATCCACTGCTAAGCCAGTATCTCATTCTACTCACGCTGACTCAAATCGATGGGATTCAGTCGTGTCATGCAAAGCCAAAGTATTTTGATGGGACGAAGACCCATGCGTATTGTGGCAAACGGTGCGCTGCCAAGATTAAGGGCGCCGCCAACGGAAACGGAGGTGGAAATGTGAACGTCACTCGCAAGCCGACTACCAAGGCCCCTGCTAACGGTGCAGCCCGCGGGGGTATGTGCGATGTACGTCTCGATTTCCCTCGCGTCTTCACGATTCATGGCTCATGGTCACTCTAATGGCTATCATCTGAATTTTATATCCACATTTTTCACATATTTGACTAGTCCTGCCACAAGAAACCCAAATACTTTGATGGAAAGACGACACATCAATTCTGCGGGAAATCATGTGCACAGCGTGCCAAAGCTCAGGGTGCTGCAGGCCCAGCACCAGCGGCAGGTCCAGGTCCAAAGTTTGTCCAACGGCTTCTCGAATTATTCTCGTCGAAGGTTAACGCTTTGCCATCTAGCGCAGCGAATCGTAACGGTGGTGGTGGTGGTGGTGGTGGTGGTGGTGGAGGAGGAGGGGCGTGCTTGGTGTGTGGTAAAGTCTCGAAGAAAGGTGGTGTATTCTGCCGAAAATCATGCGCTGATAACGCTGAGAGAAGGGCGCCAACGATATTGGAGGTGCCAGCTTCGCATCCTTCGTTTGCAAGTGGTAAGCAAAACTTGAAGCATTTTTTTTACCCTATTTCTTGCACTTGCTGATTTGTCAACATAACAGTCGCAGGCCAGTTTAAGTCGTCGTGGAGGCACAAGACGGCTTGTCCGGCTGTGAGGAGAGTTTATAAAGTAATCACGCCGCAGGCTTCTCTGGCCAGATACGACGCATACCGGTGAGTCCGATGATTTTGGCAAGTAGACCTCGCGATGTCTGACCGCATGTCCGCGTTTTTCGCTATACTCTTATCTCCAGCGCCTCTGTCGAGTCCCGTGGCAACTTTGCAGCCTCGGGGCGTACGGCAGGAAACGAGAACCGTCGATGGCACGGGACGACGCGTGAGTGCACGCTCGGCGACAACGGCAACTCGACGCTGTGCGGCTCTGCTACGTGTTCATTGTGCTCGATCATCAGTACATCGTATTGCCTGAAGTTATTTGGGAAGAAGACGGGGTGGGGCAGATTCGGCGCGGGGATATATACGTCGTCGACGTCATCAAAGTGAGTGGCACTAGTAACTTTTTTTTCATCGATAACAGCGTTATTGATATGCCTACCATACCGTTAGGTCGAATGATTATTCCAACAACACACAGCCATCTAATTGCAAGACTATCCTACTGAACAAGGTTGTTGTTGGTAAAGGATACAAGATGACTCAAGACAACACGAAGCTGACAGCGCCACCTGCTGGTTATGATTCGGTAAGGCAGCAGCTCCACGTCTTTAATCCCTACCATCACACGCTGACTTGGTCTCGTACAGGTGCTAGCAGAAGTTCGTCTTGGTGGCTCTCTCAACTACGACGAACTCATTTGCTATAATGAGGATGCTATACGGCCTTCATATCTTGTTGTATACGATGCTTAATCTATTGTGCTCTCTTCATAACATCATAACAGACGATTTCTGCATGCCAATTTCTTTTGTTGACACCTGTAACTTGTAGCAGATATACCCTATGCACATGTAGCTGTATTATTTGGGCGGTCGGATTCTAGTGTAACTACAATGTATTTATCCTTGCATATGCTTTCGTTGCAATTTATCGTTGACATTATGACACATAACTCTGCAATTTTCTAATTTGTTCAGACGATAAAGAACAATAATAATACATCAATTGCTACTTCATCTTTCTTTTCCCCCTCCGTGAAATTGCTTCCAGTCTGACTACCATTCCAAAGACGAATTTCCACCACTGCATGACCCTCCGCTACCTCCACAACCCTCCGCAGCCTGAACGGCATCGGGGTCTGTACCATTGACATCAGCAATTTCGATCCCCTCTCCACCTCGGTTGACAGCTTCAGCTGTTGCCTGTCGCACCATCCACTTATTGGTCCCGATGACCGCATCCAGGTCTTCAGCCTCGGGCAGCAGCAACGAAAGCTCGTCGCCTTCCTGCTTGACGTCAAAAGCGATAATTGAATATTCATCATCGTTGAGACATTCACCGTCGTTTAATCGGAAGTTTCGTTTATGAAGAGGGCCTAGGAGCATGAGGTAGATCTTGTGTTGGAATAAGCGGATTATAGAATAGAGATGTGAAACTCACATGAAATATACAGATTGCCATCAGCATCGTCGCCGATGATGCCGTGTTCAAGCACAAATGCTCGTTTATGAGGGCACATCTATAATTAAAGTTAGTTCGCAAAGCCAGCGTTGCAGCGATACAGGGGGGCCTACCTGTTGCGTCGCATAATAACCTTTGTGAGGGATGTGAAAGATCGCTAGCTGACTGTCTCCATACTTCACAGCGACAGATCTGGGAGAAGGACAATACCCCCGTTCGTGATCAATTATTATCCTAGAAAGTTAGAAACAGCTACACATACGTTGTCCCAGCGTTCGAGGGCATTAGGTCATTCACAGACGCCAGCCTGCGCCACCTCCACTCGGCTTTTGGAACTCTGATAGCTGAAGAGTGAATCTTAGCAGGAGGGAATTGCTTTGGCCAATCGGCAGGACGTGGTTGCCCACGTTCTGTGATTTCCTCTACTAAAGGACGTCGTTCGTCCTGTAATTTACTGCTTAGTTTTGCCTCCACAGCGTAAGAAATGCCATGCTTACAGTGTTAGCAAACTGGCGGAATTGCCGCCTTTTGACAGGATCTTTGACAACAGTAGCCCATTCATCTGAGAACGACCCGACCAAATCATCCATTTCTTTTTCGAGCTCTGAGCAGATCCCAAGGTCGTCATCCAAGAGGATCTTCTTTAGTCTCTGTTGTGACGGATCAGGATAAGGGGCCATTCCAAATTGATTAATGAAAACCTACTTCTACTCCACCTTCGAACTGCTCCACCCAACGCGCGGTTCGCATGAGCTTGTCAGCCGTGCGGATGTAGTACATGAGGAAGCGATCCAAAATACGAATTACTTTCGAAGGTGGTACATCCGTCGCAAATAGGGTGGCATGTCGTGGGATAGAGCCACCGTTGCCAGCCAAGAAGACTGCAAAGCATGTGTCTGAGTGAGAAGAACAAGGCAATTACTAGGAAGTTACTCACTGTTCCAACCTTTATCTGTCGCAATAAGCCCGAAATCTTTGGACTGGGCTTCCGCACATTCACGTACACAACCACTGACACCGCCCTTTAACTTATGAGGCGATCGTATACCTTTGTACCGCTCTTCAAGATAGATTGCCACTGGAAGACATTAGCTGAGTGCCCATTTTAGCACTATTATATATAAGCGTGACTTACTTCCAACAGAATCACCGATCCCGTAACGACACCAAGTAGTGCCAACACACGATTTGACAGTACGCAGAGCTTTGCCTGTATTTTTATATAAGTACGATAAAATCAATAGTAGAACGTTCGATATTACCATAAGCATGGCCACTTTCGAATCCTGCTGAGATGAGCTCTTCCCATATGCAGGGCAAGTCTTGCTTTTGGGCTCCGAACAGATCAATACGCTGCCTGTTTTTTCCCAAAAAATCAATACACCATACAAGAAAAAATTACTGTTTCCCTCACCCTCCGGTTATCTTGGTATATAGCTTGTCTAAACACTAGAATTAGATGATGTTGCGACCTCAAATTCAAACCCTTACACTTCTGTGCAACTTGACCAAGGGCGATAAGCTTCTCTGGAGTAATCTGTGAAAGGTGAGTATTATGGTTTACATTAAAAAAGAAATACTGACCTCTCCTCCCGCAATCCGAGGAATGACAGAGAATGTTCCTGCAAACCAAGTTGAATATTAGAGGAATAAATCGTAAAGGGTTGGCGAACCGTTTCGCTGTATATTTGCGAGAAATCTGCAATATTGTATGAGCACCATTTGGTTAAGTACTCAATCCTCGTGTACCTGTCATTTGTGTCTTGATTGGCATGGTGAGCCGGCTCCATGATATGCTCGTTATACAAAGATGAAAGGATAGAACCTGCTGCTATGAGAATGCGGTGCACAAAAGTAGCTATGCACATACCTATGACTGGTTTACAAAGCTCGCAGCCTATGGAACCTTTCTTGACACCAGCGGATTCCATAACGTCAGTGAGAGTTTTCAATTTCCGAATCCTTGTTAACAACGACAGACCAATTCACGCCAATAACTTTCATGCAAATCAGGAAACGTACTTGATGACAGTAAAAAGTTCTTGGCGCGTCATTGCAAAATGTGGGCATAGATTGTTTGAAACTGCATGGCCTGCCTTCTTCATTTCAGCCTGTGTTGTATGTCGCCATAAGCCTCGGTATCACAGTCACGAACAAACCGATGGAAAATACCTTGAATATGTTGGTAACAAGAGGCATGCATCCTCCGCAACCTGACCCTGCTTTAGTTTTCGCTTTGAGATCGCCGAGTGTGCTAACGCCAGCCTTGACAGAATCTGCAATCGCCGCTTTTGTGACATTCTGTGCGACATCTCAGTCTTCGGTGATCAAGGTCCCAAATAAATAACACATACGTGACAACTACAGATCTGAGTATCGTCATCTAGGTCAGCGCCATCGTCTTCGCCTTTCTTTCCAGAGCCAATGATGAGCTCAGAAGGCGGTACTTCGATGACTTTCTGTGGAGTTGATGATATATAATCAGCTACGCCTAAAATATAGTTGGTACTCGAATTGACTCGCCTTTTTCTTCACCAACGACATGAGTTTCACATAGTCCGACGTATCCCCGACCATCATGCCCCCAAGCAAGTATTTTCCATCTGCAGTAAATATGTATCTGGCGTGCAGGGCTATCAACATGTTGATTTTGAAAAAAAACTTCAAACTTCAGCGTACTTCTTATAAACAAATGCAAAAGGGTCGCGATATGTCAAGCATTCCACCGGTCCTCCTAATGCTGCTCGTTTTCGTATATGGGCGCGGTCGCTCTTATCTGCGCCAGCAGCGTCCTTGGAGGTCGCTCCACTGGGGTTTGCAGTTTCATCAATTTTGATCTCCCAGACTGGTGCCGCTTTTTCCGCACTTGGCTTATTCGACTCCACTTTAGGAAGGCTAGCTATGTCCACTTTCACCTCCACTGGAATAGCCTTGCCGCCCTGTTGGTTGATCCCCTTGTCGGCGAAATAATCTCCGAAAGATGCGACCTACAGTAAGCCAGCCAAATGGATAATAAGTAGACGAAATTATTAGTTCACTTATGGAGAAAACATAAGTTTTATTACTTACGTCTACGCCCATTAATTTCAACTTCGTAGAAAGGTCCGGCATATTCTATGGTTTTGATGGTTAAAGGATTAATCAAACCAAAGCTGTAAGTATAACTTTACCATTTGCCTGGGTCGGAATCCACCAACGCCCGTCTCGACTTGGGTGAAGTTGAAAGAGAGAATGTCTGCCATCTCAACTGAGTTTCCAAATAAGTTTTCAAAACAGATTACGGATATGCGAAACCACTTACTTCCAGGCGCAATCAAGCCATAAGTATTACCTTTCCAGCTTGCACACTCGCCAATAGCATACACATTATCTGCACTCGTCTTTAAGGAACCGTCAACGATAATACCACCCTTGTCGTGACACGTCAAGCCTGACTTTCTCGCTAAATCGTCTCTTGGAGTAATGCCGATGGCGAAGATCACCATCTGGGCTTCAAAATGGGTATCGTCTGAAAGGATGAGTCCTGTGAAAATGCCTTCGGGAGAGGTGGTGATGTCCTTGACGGAGGTCTTGGTCAGAACCTCGACACCCATAGCTTCGATACGACGTAGTACAATTTCGCCTCCTTCATTATCGAGTTGACGAGATAGGGGGAAAGCCTGTCGATTAACGATGGCAACCTTTGCAATTGATTCACTACATCAAAATCATTATTTAGTTCCTTGCAAGATAAGGAAAACAGGGCTACGTACAGGTCAAACACAGCCTTCGCAGCTTCCAATCCAAGTAATCCGCCTCCCACAACTACGGCCTAAGCGGATTATGTCAGTAAGTATGGATGAATGCAAATACACAAAAAAACTAACCCGTCCGCCGCTGACCCCATCCTTATTGGAATAAGCCAATATTTTGTCTAGATCAGAAATATTGCGATAAACGAAAATGCCCTGCGTTCTTTCTGCCCTCTCTGGTGGAATATACGGAGGCAGAGTGCTCTCGGAACCAGTAGCGAGCACACAGTAGTCATAGTTTATCGTGCGACCTTCACTTGTGGTGACATTTTGTCCAAGAGTGTCCAAGGATGTGACTTGTTCACAAGTGTGGAAAAGGAACCGCTCCGGATCTTGACGGGCATACCACTCGACTGTATAAGGACGCGAGATCAATGAGATAAACCGATAACATATTAAGGTGGACACGGTACATTGGTTCAGATAGAGCTTCTCGACAGATCGGTGCTGAAAATAGTCCGTGAGGGCTACTCGGTTGTATGCTAGATGTAACTCTGGGGAAACCGCGCTCGATCAAATAGTGAATCAATGCTACGACATCAAAAAGACAAACCTTCCCCGCAAGTGACGATGCGATAACGATTTGCTTCGTCCAAGTTAAGCAACTTCTCAATAAATGCTTCAAATGGGCGATCATTGATTCTACGTTATTTCATGATTTTGATCTGGCGCGCAAAACACTTACCTATGC